CTCTCCTTAGCAGCAAAGGCCAGGTCCCCAAAGAGGCCATAACAGAGGCCCTCAGGGTTGGCACGCTCAACAGGCTGGCTGGCATCACGAAACAGGTGCTGGCATAATGTGCTGTCCTTGGAGCCAGAGAGTAGGAAAGAGGGATCATGTGGGTGGCGCCAGGCAATGCCTGTTGTAACATCACGGTGCTCTTCAAACATAGCAGCTGGCACGAAGGGCCGGCGTACATCCCATACATAAATGTTGTGGTCCACCATCATGGAGCATGTGGCGAGGTGGTGGCGGCATTCAGGCCGCCATTTAACTCGAGCCACTGAGGCGATGGTCTGCACACAGTGCATCTCCTTGGCACGATGTGTTGTCATGTCCCAGACCTTCACCATCTTGTCTCGTCCACCTGTGGCCAGCCAGCCCCTGTGGAGAAGGTCCCACTCAAGCTCTCAGTGACCTCTCCAGAGGGGGGAATGAGACCCTGCCACACCCCACTGTGTCTTTTAGCCTTCAGCCTTAATGCCCTCCTCACCCCCACACCACACCTGTCCTCTGGGTGCCAGTCACAGCAGAAGACAGGCCCATTGTGGGCTGTGAACATCCTTTCACATCGGTCGGGTCGGCGGATGTCCCAGAGCTGGACATTGCCATTCTCGAAGGTGGAGGCAAAGGTAAAGTAGTCTCGGATGCTGAACTGCACGTCGCGCACACTCTCAGACTGGCCTGTGGGCATTCATCAGGAGAAGCATGAGTGAGAGGGAGGGCTGGCCCTCTGTGGATGGAGAGCCCTTAAAGGGGCTAGAATGGGGTCATTCACCAGTCTGTGGCCAGCTGGGAAGCACAGAGGACTGAGGAAACACCATCAGAATCTGCCTAAGGTGGGTCTCTGAAGCCTAGGCCAGACAGAACATGCCAGGTATTTTCTGCACAAACTCCCAGGCCTCAATTCCCTGGGTTCTGTGAGCACTGAGTGTATATCAACCCAGCTGGCTGTCTACACTTCCCTGGGGCCAAGGCTTGTGAGACCATATGAATGGAAGAGGAGGTTGCCTCATTCTCTGCTCAATACCCTGCCAGTTGACCAAAGGGTTCAGAGTCCATATCCACCTTAGAAGACTACAGTATAAGGAGCCTGCAAGTGCAGTATCCAGTCTTCCCTGCCACAGACAGCTCAAGATCTCTCTCTCTCTCTCTGTGTGTGTGTGTTTCTGATTTTTCGAGACAGAGTTTCTCTGTATTGCTTTGGAGCCTGTCCTGGAACTAGCTCTGTAGACCAGGCAGGCCTTGAACTCACAGAGATCTGCCTGCCTCTGTCTCTGGAGTGCTGGGATTAAAGGCATGAACCACCAACTCTCGGCCTTCAAGATCTGTCTTAACCTACAAATTCTCCAAGGGTCTAAGGCACTGCTGGTACTTCATTTGCTCTCATTAAGGACCAGGGAGAAGCCTGTTGGTGGTGGCGCACACCTTTAATCCCAGCACTCAGGAGGCAGAAGCAGGCAGATCTCTGTGAGTTCAAGGCCAGCCTGGTCTACAAAGTAACTTCCAGGACAGCCAGAGCTGTTATACAGAGAAACCCTGTCTCGAAAAACAGAACAAACAAACAGAAACAAAAGAACCAGGGAGAGCAAGCTAGGGCTGAATACAGACAGCCAGGTCTACCATGAGAGGAGCCCTGCATACTTCCCACCTCACTGCACTCCTGGGCTGGGAGTCCTGAAGATACTAGTAGATTCACTGCAGTGGAGTAAGGCAAGGTGAGGGAAAGGAAGACTCAGCCACTCACTACACTGTGTTTGCAGACTCTACCTTCCCTATCAGATACACCCAGTCTCAATTCCCACCAGTCTAACCTCCTGCCTCTCCCCAACCAGCAGTGCTTGAGTTCATCCTTCACTGGGACCAGCCCTCTCCCTCTCTACCCACTCTCCCAGTTCAGCCTCTGAGAGTGCAACAGAGGATCTCTGATGAAGCACACTTCAGCCCGCTTGTAAGGTCTAACATCTACAGAAACACACATTTCCCCACCCTGTGTCTGTGGGCCTCACCAGAGAAGGTGCTGACAGAATCTTTCCTTCGGAGGTCAAAGCACTTCATGAAGCCATCCTGAGAGCCACTGAGCAGCACATGGGCCTCAGTAGGGTGGAAACAGACTTTGTTCACTGTGCGCTTGTGTTCTGTGAACAGCTGATCCTGCTTGTTTCGGGATGGCCGCCCTAGATTCCACGTAACTACTACACCATTGGTGGCTGCTGTGGCCAGCAGATTCTCATCCATCTGGTGCCAGACCACATCAGCACAGCTCAGGTTGAGTGAAGGCTTCCTGCCCACACGCAGATTCAGCTTCTCTACAAACTGCTCTTCCTCAATGGCGTAAATCTTGAAGATGCTTCGGCCTGCCACGACAACCTGGGCTGCATCACGGCACACACTAATGGCATTCGCTGGTGCATCCAGGTGGCAGTGCATGGTACGGCCTGTCAGTGCGCTGCCACTCAGGGCTGTGGTAACTCGGGACATCTTTTCCATGGCTACACAAGGATCAGGGGGCAAGAGGTCAGTGAAATGTGCTGGCCTGGTCAGCCATGGTGTCCTAACAGTTCAGGTTTGTTCTCTCGAACCTTCGGCCTGAGATGGTCCATCAGCCAATCACCAAATTCCCTGGAGTTCTCTAGAAGGCTCCATAGCTAACCTAAGACTCGTCAGCACCGTGTCTGATCTCCCCAGATTCTATGTAGTTAATCATCCATTAACAAGATCCTGGATGCTACTAGACCATTGATAGATAGATCCCAGTGTGTAGAAAAGTGGCTCCGTGCCTCCGAGGATTGAGGGGCTTCCAAGAGGAACGAACAACCGAGAGGAAAGGGTAAAGGAACTGGAGGGGTCCGGAGGGCTGAGTTTAAAGGCCTTGGGAGGCAGAAGAGAGACCACAGCACTAAGTATAGGTATCTGGTTGCACCTGGCAGCGGAAACTGCGGGACCAGAACCAGGTGCTGGGAAAGCTTTTGCCTCCGTCGCACACCAGACATTTACCGAAAGCACAATGTTCCTCAGCTACCGTAACGGAAGAGACTCGCCTAATTCCCGCCCATTACAGGAAGTAGTCCTTTTTTCATTCTTGCCTCGCCGGAAATGGGCACAAACTCTTAGCCCATATAATAAAGGTTCCGCGTTTGCGGGCGGCGCTTTGGCCAAGTAAATGAAGCAGATCATCAGTTCTTCCTTGGTGATATGTCTGCGTTTGTTTGCTTGCTTGCGTGCGCGCGCGCGCGCGCGTGTGTGTGTCTGATGCCGGAGATGAAGCCCGTACAGAGCCTAATGTAGTGTGCGTGTGCGTGTGTGATGCCGGAGATGAAGCCCGTACAGAGCCTAATGTATACAAGACAGGTTCTCTGTCAAGTGGGCTATTTTACTGGTCCCAGTTTATTTTTAATAATCAGAACTTAAACCTCTCCCCCAGTCTTGAAGCAAGTCATTTTTTCCTTACTCTGGCTTATAGTTTTTGAATTAATTTTTATTTAAAGTGAACATAATCTTATTTTACACACCAATTCCAGTTCCCTCTCCCTCCCATCTGCCCACCCACCGCCCCCCTGCAGCAAGTTATTTTCTAAGCAGTTTCTGAGTTCCTGCACTCTGCCCCAGTGCCAAATGCTACTCCGGTGCACTCAAACTTTCCGGATGAAACTCGGGTGCCGCTTCCCGACTGGTCCTGGGTCCATCATTTCCTGCTCTGAACCCCGCACAAGAGACCTGGTATCTTTTCTACTCAAGATCCCCTGGTCCTGCCTGTCCTGGTACAGCTGCCCGTTTCTTGGCTCCCCTTTTCTCAGCATGCTTCCTTCCCACTTCCCAGCTCCCTTCCCACTGAGCACTTTCCTTCCTCTTCCACAGTTTCTTAAGCTATGTAACTATGCCTTCTATCTATGCCTTCTACCTTTGCAGAATATGTCTCCTTTCCAACCTTCAGTACCTAAATGCCTACCATTTTAGATCATCCCTCCTTCCCCAATCTAATGTGGATTCCTTGGTCTATTGTGTTTTTTCCGAGACAATGTTTCTCTGTGTAACAGCCTGGAACTCAATCTGCAGACCTGGATGGCATGAAACTCACAGAGATGCACCTGCCTCAGCCTTTTGAGTGCTGGGATTAAAGGCGTGGGCCACCTTCCTCTTTCTATTGAGGATTTTATGTCTATTTTGTGTGGTTACACCTGTTTTGGTGGTTTCAGGGCCTGACAGCCAGTTCTATCAGTGGCAAAGTTTAGTCTCAGTTGCCCCTTATTTTTGGAGTGGGTGCAGTAGTCTGGGTCTTCTTGCACATGGTGATCTTTTATTTAAGTGTGTGTGTGTGTGTGTGTGTGTGTAGTGAGTTTTTTGTTTGTTTGTTTTTGTTTTTCAAGACAGGGCTTCTCTGTGTAACAGCCCTGGCTGTCTTGGAACTCACTTTGTAGACCAGACTGGCCTCAAACTCACAGTTCTCCTGCCTCTGGCTCTGAGTACATGCTGTGTGTGTTTTTATGTGTACCATTGTGTGTTTCCGGATCCATAGGAGATCAGAGGGCATCAGATCCCCTGGAGCTATAGTTACAGACATCTTAAAGCCATCTGATGTGGGTACTGGGAACTGAACCTAGGTCTCCTGCAAGAATAGTAAATGCTCTTAACCACTTCAGTGCAATTGCAGTATTTTAGAACATCACAATCCCTAATTTAGTGACCCTGTACAACAGACAAGGCTCATTTATACTCTTCTTAAAGGATGGTAGACTAGGTCCTAGATCTCTTTAGAGGAACATACATATTGACATCAGCCTCACTCTTCCATTTTGTGCATTCAGGGCATGGAAGAATTTCTGTTGGTCAGGTGCTAAGCCTCTGCATGTCTATGGAAGGAATGAGGAACTTTGATACATTGAGAGAGGCAGGAGAACCCAGAGACCTGGGTCATCCAGGGAAGATTTAATCCTTACAACTTGGTCTAGTGACCAAAAAACAACCCAGACTCGGGTTTTTACAACTTTTTTAATATATATTTTTATAAACAGGTCACGTGATAAAATAGCACAAGAAACACTTACCAAATATAAGGTTATATCTTCCGCATATACAGGAGAATGAGGTCGTTATGTACAATAAGAAAATGACTTTAGGGGTTGGTTGATTTTGTTTGTGTTCCTTTCTCCCCTTAAATTTTCCTCCTACAGTCATTGGAAATATCACAGCTTCAGTTGCATTAATACTTTGGGCAAATTGACAGCTTCCCCCTCCCTGTTGTGGGACTGTGGGAAGAAGGGCTGAAGAATCTGGCTCCTGACCACTTCAGCCTGGAGCCTTCCTGGCCAACACTTCAGGGGCAGGGAACTCTTTGGGCTGTTGAACTCTTTTTTTTTTTTTTGTCAACAGCATCTCTCTCTCTCTCTCTCTCTCTCTCTCTCTCTCTCTCTCTCTCTCCCTCTCTCTCTCTCTCTCCCTCTGGCTCTCTGGGAATTAGTTACTCTCTTCCAACCAGATAGGGATGTCCCAAGATTGATTATGGGTGCTGTGTCTCCTGGGGCTCAAGGTTGGGAGGGAAGGGGTTCCCAGTCCCTTCCTCAGCACTGCCAAACATATGCCCAGTCCCCTAGGATTTCCAAATGTCTTGGGACCTAACAAAACCTGGTCACAGCCCATTTGTACAGGCAGAGGTTTTGGAAGCTGGGAGAGGCCAAGGAGGACTAGAAAGGAGCCCTCCTTCCTTGGGGTGTGAAGGGTGTGCTGGCCACTGGGAGTTCAGAACGACATCAGTGCTGACCCTGACCCTTGGCCAGGCCCTCTGCAGATTCCACCTGAGGAGACCTATCCAGGGTGAAAGACAGTGCTGAGAGGCCTGAGCTCAGCTGGGGTAGAGGCTGGAGTGGGTGGGCTGCTCCCAAGGCCTGGCAGCCTTGTGGGTGGCTCCAGGTTGGGGTCTGTTGGGTGCCTATTCCACCCTTGCACTTGGGTGGATGGGCACCAGTTAGGCTGATATTGATTATTCCAAGGTCTGCATCCTCCTAAAGCTGTCCCAGCCTGGCCAGGGCCCAAGGATCTGAGGGCCAGGGGGGGAGGAGGAGATGGGGGCACAGAGGACAAGAACTGACCCATATGGCAACAAGGAAGAAGGGGGTGCCACTGGGTCAGGTGGGCATGGGGGAGTTGGGCTCCTCAGGGGGCCATGGCTTTGGCAGTGGCCTGTGACGCCTTATACCCTTGGAGGGCTCCAGGCAGGGAGTAGTGGAAGGTGTGGGAGGCCCTTGGGGGCTCTTCCAGGCCCCTGAGTCCTGGGGGACCAATCCCTCCATCCCCTTGGGCCCTGCCCGGGATGGGGGACAGCACGGGGGAGGCAGAGAGCAGAATGAAGTGGGGGAAGGCAGTGAGGGCTTCTGCACTCAAAGCATTCCCAAAGGACCTAGTCCTCCCCCCCCCCAGAAGGTGGGCGAGAGATGGCGGCGGCTGTGGCATGGTGGAGGGCGGGCGTGCAGTGCGGGCACGAGGGGCATGCACAAAGTCCCCGAGTGTGCGTGCGTGCGTGGGGCTGGCCCCTCTGCCTCTTGCCCCAGGCGGGGATGGAGCAGTGAAGCAGAGGAGCAAAGGAGGCACGGGGCGGGGTTTCCCTCAGCTTGCCCCGTATCCAGCGCAGGGCTGAGAAGTGGTGCTCCGGCAGGAATGGAAGAGGGGCTACTGCCCAGGGCGTGGCGGGTTCCCGTGTCCGGTGCAGAAGCCCGCGCTATTCAATGACGAGGCAGCGTGGCAGGTGCTGCGAGAAGTACTTGAAGAGCTCCGGTGTGGCTCCAGGGCAGTTGGTCAGCTCCAGCTCCTCCAGCTCTTGCAGCTGCACGAGGCCCGATAGCCCCGTGGTGGTCAGGAGCGGGCAGCCTGCAAACGCGGGGCATCGGGACTGCCGCTCAGCAGCTCAGCTCTGCCCGGCAGAAGGGCTGGACTGGGCTGGGCAGGAGGGCAAGGCTGGAGTGGGCAGTGGCCTGCTGGGAGTGGGTCTTACAATAGGCTAATGAAGCAGGACCTGTACTGGGCATGGAGGGGTAAGAATCTGAAATGATAGGCGGGACCTGCACCAGGGCGTGAACAGGACTGGCAGGGACTGCCTAGAGTTCACCCTTCCTCCCGTCCATTTCCTGGGACATGATTTGCCAAAGTCTGAAGTAACTCTATCTGCATAAGGGACCTCAGGAGAGTCACACTGAGTAGGTGTCACTGCCCACGAGGTAGCAAGGGTCTCACCTGCTAGAGACAAGAGTCGCAAACTCCTCATGGCTAACAGGTGCTTCAACCCGAAGTCCTGCACCTGGAAGGAAATGAAAGGGGGTCGTGTTAACTATTTTCACTTGCCTGGGACCTGGAGTCACTAGAAGGGCAAAAAGTGGGGGTTGGAAGCACCCTTGAGGGCCTTAGGGAATCAGAAGATCCCGCTTCATTTGACTGCCAGGCCAAACGAAGGGATCTGAATGGGGCCCAGTGTAGTTCAAGAGTTGTTTGGACTGGTGCTACCCCACCCCACCCTCCGCACCACCCACGGTGTTCTAAATTCCAGATCCCTGGGGGCATGGAGGTACCTGGCAGCACCATCGAAGGTAGAGGCTGCGGAGGGACGACATGGTGGACAAATAGCTGAGGCCAGTGTCCGTGATGCGTACACACCTGTGGTTGCACCAGAGGGGGGACTGCCCACCTTTAAATCACTTCACCCCTTCCCCACCTAAGTCCCTCCCTCCTTTCCAGAAGTGTTCCTACAGCAAGTCCCTGCCCACCCACCACTGCCCTACCTGGTCCCACCACTACACCTGCCCTCCCAGTGGCTTCAGGCTATGCTGAAATTGGGCACTCTATTCTCCATGGCCTTCCCCATCCCAGGAGCCCATGGGAATGGCACCACCCAGTCTTGGCTTCTAGTTCCTGGAGGTCCCACCAGTACCAGCCTGGAGTGTAGGGATGTGTGCACCTGTCCAGCACGAGCTCCTCCAGGCGGTGCAGGTCACAGGCCACGTATTCTAGTGCCATGTCAGTGATCCGAGGGCACCAGGAGAGGTCAAGGCTGCGCAACTTTCTCAGGTTCTCAGCTACAAGCTCCACTCCATCGTCAGTGACCTTAGAGCAGCCTGAGAGGCTGAGTGAGGTGAGGTTGGGCAGACTATGCACCACATTGACCACCCCATGGTTGGTTATCTCCCAGCAAGAGAGCAGGCGCAGTGTGTGGGTGCTGTGGCCCTGGCGTGCTGTGAAGTAGGCCAGTGCAGTGTCAGTCACGTGGTAGGCCTGAAGGCTTAGCTCTGCCAGGTTGGGTAGAAGTTGCGAGATGGCAGCAATGGCATCATCCGCCACATTGATGCAGTCACTGACACTCAGTGAGGTGATCCGTGCACTGAGGCTGGACCACAGGCCAGCCTCAGTGAAATCGTTACAGCCTGACAGCTCCAGGCGCACCACTCCCTGCATCTGCTCCAACATCACCTACAAGCAGGTACAGATGAGAGGTCAGACTATAAGCTCCCCCACTCATACCTGGTACCCATCCTGCCATGGGTAATGAGAGTTGTCTAGGCAGAGTGGAAGAAGCTTCTGGGAATCTGGAAGCAGGCGCCTTTCAGGTGGAGACTTGTGCAAGCATGCATCAAGCTGAACTCCAAGCAGTGCACTTAAACTGCCTGTTATACTTTGCCAATATTCCAAAAGAGAGGCAGGGAATGGGGGACCATGAGCCAGGGCCTGGCCAATGTGGGTGTTTGGAACAGATGATTTGAATATTAAAATTACAATTCAGGTCCTGGGGTAGGGGGAAACAGGGCAGAATGCCCAGATGCTCCTTCAACCCTGGCTCTTAGGAGACTCTCAACTGTCCACTCCCTCCCCCTCCCTCTGACATTCCACTCACCAAGGCCAGCTTCACTAGCAAGCAAGAACCCACATGTAATTAACTACTCTCCTGCCCCAACCTTGTAACCTTAATCATTTTCTTAACAAGTCCATATTTTCACTTTGAATTAGGCCCTGACAATGCTATCTTTGCTACTTTTTGTTCTATGTACACATGAGCATCCCCATTGGCCCCTTAACCTCCCATGTCCATTGGGTTGCTGCTGTCTGTGCCTGCCCCTCCAGCTCTGTCCACTTCTAGCCAATTTTTGGACACACCTCTAGGCCAGCGTCAGTGATGGTGGAGCGTTTGAGGCTCATAGCCTTGACTCCCTTCTTAGAGAGTGCGTAGTTGTCGATGAACTCACAGATGTCTAAGTCAGAGACACCAACTAGGCAGAAGCCCTCAAAGCCTCTAGCAGCGAAGCCCTGTAGATTCACAAACTCCTTCTCGCCTCCAGGCAGCACGTTGTACAGCTCCTTAGCATGCAGCACAGGTGTGAGGCCTGCCCAGAACTTGGGCTGGTAGAGCACACGCCGCCAAGCCTTGCACACCTGGGCTAGTATGCACTTCTCACATGCTGAGAAATACCAGAAGAGCCCATTAAGGATCTTCTCATCTGTGGCCAGTGGTGGCCGCTCCACTGGGGGTCCAGGCACTGAGCCTGGGGCTGGTCCACTGGCTGGGGAGCATGGCCCCCCTGCCAGAGCAACCCGAGACAATGGTGTAGCCAGGCTGGGAGGTGGAAGGGTGGGTGGGGGTGGTGGCTGGCAAGGGCGGTTCTTGGCAGCAGGGGTGCCCTTAGTGATGCTAGCTGCACCTAGGCCGTTGGGTTGGCCAGGCAGCTTCACCAGACCATTTCGAGGCAAGCATGGAGGCTTGGGGTCACCATCGATACCTGGGCTCGACATTTTCCTTGCACGTTCTGTGGATGAGACAGGAGGAACAAGTGAGTCTGCCATATCTGGAAGAGCTGGAGAGCTAGCCCTGTTCTCATCTTTGAGCATCCTCTCCCACAGCACTTCCAGGATCACTCAACAGAAAGGATCCCTAGCACGTGCCTTTTTCTTATGGCAGAAGAGGCAGGCTGACCATATTTACAGCTAGCCCAAGTATCCACATCCTCTCTCATATTCAGTGGCTCAGCCTGCACCGCTCACAGGAGCTTTCTGATGCTTTCATTTCCAATTCAAGGTTAGGAAGAGATGAGTCCTTAATTGCTCCCTCTACCTCTGCTCTCTTGATGCCCACTACTGGGACCTACCCTGCTGAGCAGGATTGGGAAAATTGAAGAAAAGTGCTCCAGAAGTTTTTGACTACTCCTTCATGGAGTGCCAGCAGCCCACAGAGTCACATATCAGCTCTCAAGAATCTGCGCTCCTATAGTAAGTTCTGGCACTCAGGCATCTCCCAATACCTGAACACATGCATTTTCATATTTAAAAAATTACCATTATCTGTGTATAAGTGTTTTGTTCACATGTATGTATGTGTATCTCATGGGTGCTTTGCATCTGTGGAAGTCAGAAGAGGGCATCTCCTGGTATTGGAGTTACAAGCCCCTAGATCCTCCGTAAAAGTAGCAAGTGCCCTTAACCAGTGAGCCACCTCTCCATCCTTGCTGGACACATGCTCTTTAACCATCCACCCAACCCAATGAGGTGTTGTGATATCTATTGTACAAACAAGGAAGTGGAGGCCAAGGCCAAGTGAACTGCTTGTTTGAAGCCATGGCCAGTAGTTAAGTAATAGAGTTAAAGTTTGGACCAAAGCTGGAGGAAGGTCATGGGGAAGGCCAGGGTCAACTGGCCATAAAGCAGGTCTTGATCACTACTCATCTCAGGCCCCCAGACTCCCAGGGCTGCAACTGGGTGGCAGAGTCCATTGTGAATGGACAGTATGGAGGGAAAGGGCAGTGAGATTATCATAATGTCATGACCATCTGCTCTGCATTCCAGATATAAATATCATGTCCACCACTGCCCAACATACAGAAAAGAGGTAGTTTTTCCATGGGTTTCTCTTGCAGATCCAAATGCAACACTCTGGAGTCCAAATGACCCCTACTTTGTTTTTTTCTTCTTCCTTCTTTCCTTTTTTAAACAGGGTTTCTCTGTGTAGCTTTGGAGCTGGTCATGGTACTCACTCTGTAGACCAGGCTGTCCTCAGAATCATGGAGATCCACCTGTCTCTGCCTCCTGAGTGCTGGGATTAAAAGCGTGCACCACCAATACCCGGCTCCTACTTTGAATGTGTGGTCTTGTCTAGCCACTGGTGGTTCCATTTCCTCAACATGAAATCTGGGAGGTAACACTACAGACTCCTCTTGGAGGGATTTGTAGTGTATGGTAGAGTAAGGATTGTATTTTTTTCTGAGTCCCAGAGCTCACCCAAGGGCAATGCATGATCTCCCTTTCTGTATGTATAGGCAATCCCAGAACTGAACTGGATCCACATGTGAGTTAACTTCCTGCCCTACAATCTCAGGGAAGTCAGCAAGTTTCTCTCAGTTCCTCTGTCATACACTCTTACCTGGTCCTCTGTTATACAATCATACCTGGTCTCTGTTATACACTCATATCTAGTTCTCTGTCTTCCTAGAACATGACCAACAACCCAGCTCTGTGCCTAGGGATGGCCATTGGCAGTTCACCCCAGGCCCTCAGTACTATCTCCCTATCACTCTCCCTCCTCGTATGACTCTGGACCTGGGTGGTGGACCAGTTTTTCCACGAGGGAGGTTTTCAGCCTCTGGCTGCTCTTTTGTGCTCAAGAACAGGCAATAACAGTTACACAAAAGCCAGTAGTACTGTAGCTAACACTCCCCAAATGCACACCAGAACAATCACATATTTCAGTTTCACAGCAGACATCCTTCTGTAGGGGTAACCACTATTGTTACCCAAGTCTTTAAACAACAAACCTGAGGCTCTGAGGAGGTACATTTGCATGCCATGGCAAGGGAAGTCTACAGTGTGGTTACTCCAGTTCCCTGAGAGCAATATAAGGAAGGGGGCCTGTTGTAGGACAGCAGCATCTATGATGGGAAAGGATGAGGTTCTTCCTTAAATTCTTGTCCAGCACCACCCACATTCCTGGGAACTGTGCTGAAGATGGAGAGACAGCTCCAGCCAGAATACCTGCCATATCTCTGATTCTTAGTCTGCATACTCCTAGACCGCCCATCTAGCCTCAGCCACTAGGCTTAGTAAACCCAGCGCTTTCGGAACCCCGGGAACAGTACCATGGACAGCGCCCGCGCTCATTGGGGTCAGCTAGCCTTTCTGCATGCACCAGACAGTGGAGCAGAGAAAGGACGATTGGTGGCTCCCGCAAACCCAGATCCACAGGAAGAGGCAGGGGGAGAAGCCGCCCGCTTGGCTAGGATCCGGAGGAGGCTGCGGAGGCGGTGCCAGGGGAGAAATAATCCAAGAGCTATGCCGATTTAGGCTGAAAATGCTCCCAGCCGCGGGTGTGCACGTGGAGTGCCTGAGTTGCTGGGGGCGTGTGGGGGGAGATGCACGTGGATGCCCCGGGCATTTGCGGGGCTCCTTCCTGCCCCTCGCGGCAGCTCTGGAACTCACGTTTGCAGTAGCACACGATACCCTTCCTAACCCCCAGACTTAGGCCAAGTAGGTGAAACCAGGCCTGACTAAATCCCTCATCTAGGCCCCTGCTTTTGGTGGAAGGCACATCTCCACAGAGGCAATTCTGCTGCTCCCCAGCATTGTGCTTGGTGGTGGTGGTGGGGGTGTTTCTCACTGCTTCTCCCACTTGGGGCATAATTAACCAAGCCCAAGAACCCCCTGTACTGTGGTTCAAAAATGGGCCCAAGGAAGGGCTGAGGCTTTCAGGGAAAGCTGAGCACACAGTAGAAGACTGGAACTTTCCTGCCAGGTAAGCAAGAGGTTATTGACTGGCTCCAGCAGAGATCTTTCTACCTGTCCCTGTTATTTAGCCAGATGGTGACCTAGGACCTGCTCCCATGTGTAGAAACAGATCTCATTATGTAGCTGAGGTTGGCCTTATATTTACAGCAATCCCACCACTATGGGGTTACAGATATGCACTACCATGTCCAGCGATAACCCCTTCTTGATGCTGCAACTCCTTTCTCCACCCAGGGTGGCTCCTTAGCCTGTTTGGAGTTGCTTGCTAGGAGGGGGAAGGATCAGTGGCTGCCTCTCCCTTCACAGATGAGTACCTTAGGAGCTAATACTGGGGAGATCTGAAATGATGGATGACTGGTTACAACACTCAGTCTCAGGCCCTGTGTTTGGTGCTCAGTTTGGAGTGGAATTCTGAGTCAGCTCTAGGCTGCAGAGGAGCTTGAGGTCCCTGAACCCATCCCATGTTAGGAGACACTGGCAACTTCCTCAGTTGCCATGTCTTCATCAGCACCAGCCTCATCAAGGGCTAGAGCTGACTGTGGTCTTCCAATTCCCTAGAGGACTCACTGTGGACATAAGGAATGGTGGGCACAACGGGGCTCCTGGGAAAGCTCCAGTACTTGGTGGTTTCCAGGCTAACAGTACACAAATCCTGGTGTATCCAGTCATTGGACCTTGAGTCCTCCAGCCCTGACTTCTTGCCCAACCAGACCTCTGCCCTTTCCTCTTCTCCTATTGCCCCCTCACCTGGCCAAATGATGGCCCCTGCTTGTTCCATGCATAGGTTTTCTCAGATGTAGATGAGTGCTGCCTGCCTCCATATCTAGGATCCCTTGTACTTTGGAAAAAGTACCTTTAGATGTCACCCATCACAGAGGCTGTCATGGCTATCTGTCTCTCCCCTTGGCCTGGTAAGTCCTTGAGGACAAATTGCATCATGACTATGTGGCTTCTGGGTACTTATGAAGGAATGAACAAGAACTGGTCGCCCAAACTGCCAGGGGTGCAGTTGCCTGAGCCTTGCAGGCTTGGCTGGTCAGTGGGGCAGGAGCAGCTCAAGAACTCAATTCCAGGTACAACCGTGGTCAATATTTCTAGAGGAGGAACCAGACTGGTGTCAGCACTTAACTCCCCAGTCCCAGTGAACTTGAGGTGCAGATATTGGGGGACAGGAGCTCTTGCATCTCTTTTTTTGGCTAAGCCCCCTCTGGAATTTCATGGCTAAAGAATATGGCTGTCTGTCCCCTAAATCTGGCCTGATCCCAAAGAAACAGGAACCACCAAGATGATGGGGAGAAGGCTCTGTCCTCCCAGCATCCTCTGCCTCATTACTCTCTGGAGCACCATTGAGGAAAACAAGGCTCAGAGAGGGGTCTTCTTGAAGCAAATATAAATACAACTTGTCCCAGGACTCCAGGGTTTTCTGATTCCCAAACCCTCAGACCAGGAACACATCTGTTGCATTTTACTTCTCTTTCTTCTGCCTCATTGGGTCCTGTGTCTTCCTGCAATCTGGCTAGTGGCCTCTGCACACAGTTCTCATCCAGCAGGGTCTCTACTATAATCCTGAAGTCCCAAAGGCTGCCAACTACATGCCCACCAATTTCCCACTCCTCACAGCTATCACTCCAGGGGCTTGCCCCTTGTCTCTGACATAGTCATTTCTGGGAGCACCAGGTCAGGATGGAGCCACCTTGGATGCTGATTCCTAGACTGTATGGGACCTTCCCTGATCATCTCATGCTTGAAAAAAATAATTCAAATACTCATATCAAACTCAGTCTGTGGTGATAGTCCCAGGACTGGGGTGACAAGCAGGGGCGCAGTGAGGCAACATGTTCTGTGACAGTGCTGTGACTCAGGCACATTCACATCCCTGCCACATTGCACGTGTCAACAGCAGCACTCTCCTTCCACCCCCTGCTGGAGCAGCCTCTGGAGGTGATCCAGGGATTTCAGGATGGGGAGCCCCTTGGCCCAGGGGGTACACAGGCCTTGAGAAGAGTCCACATTGATGCTCCAGCAGACAGAGGCTCTGCAACCAAGCTACAGGCAAATGGCCTCGAGGTAGCGTGGAATAGATGCCTGGCTTTAGCTTATCAGGTCTCTCCTGCTCTGGAGAATGCGACCTCCAAGAGATAGGCCCAAGGCTCCTCTAGACACCTGCCAAATGCAGCCCAGCTACGCTCTCTGTGGCCAGTTTGGCCATTGAACCACTAGCAGGGAAGGTTCAGGGCCTCGCTTTGCTGCCATCCCCACCTTTCCCTGTGCCGCTGCTGGAAGGTACATCAGTGATTCCCACAGGTGAGGACAGTTGAGCAGTGCCAGCCAGAGCCTTCTCCTCTGTTTCTGGAATCCACTTGCCTCAATCTTTCAGGACTTCCTGGGTCTAGACCCCTTATTCCCAGAAGCACTTGCTTTAACTTCAACAATGGGAGAGAGAACCTATTCAGGTGTCAGAAAGTATTTGGGAAAAGGGGAATACATATGTATCCAGGACTCAGGGGTAGGGGTGGCTAGGGAGTCAAGTAGTTAGGGTTGCAGGAAATGGGGCAGCTGGATCCTAGGCTATTTCAGTACCACCCATGTTTTCAGCCTTGAATCTCCCAGCCCAGTCCTCGGATCACTTCTAGACAGGACTCGGGCAGGCTTCTGACCTCGTCTAGCCAGCCCCCAATCGTTCCAGGCTCCCTTCCCAACCCCCACCTTCTGCTCTGAGGCTGCTGTCCAGCACCACATCAAAGTGATGGGCTGGAAGAGTGGGTCTTGTGTCCAAAGGAGCACCAGAGAGGCCTGAACAGACCTTGGTCAGTGGGCCATGATACAAGATGGCAGTGGAAGTCAGCCCTCAAAGAGGGAGCAGGTGAAGTGGCATCTGCCATCTGCTCCTGGGAGGTCAGCTGCTGGCTTAGGCTGGGAGGGGCTAGCAGGAGGGCTGCTAGGCCAGATCCAGGCCTCAACAGTGCAGCCTTCTCTCCTGGGATAAAGGATGGGGAGGATACCCCACTGACCTAACATCCCAGAAGGACATAGAAGCCCTGTTCAGCAACCTCAGGGTGCCCATTCCCCAATTTGAAGCCTTCCAACCTTGGCCAGGGTCCATTTCCTTCTTTATAACCAAAGACATGCCAGCCCACTCCCTCTGCCTCCCTGTGGGCGGCAGTTCTATACCAGCTCAAGTCCAGAAGGTGTTCAAGGCCCCTAGGCCACATATCCACATGGCTCCTCCCGTTTAATTGTAACAACACCTGTCACGTCCTCCAGTCCGAGGCTCATAGAACTGGAGAGAGGAGAGCCCAGAACCAAGCCAGAAGGAGTGGGGGCTGACTGCCTGCAATTTCGCGTCCTCGCAGCCACGGTGCTTCCTCGCAACCGGTTCCATGGTACCGACCCACAGCCTGACCACCTTGCTGATGGCGAGCGTGGTGCGATGAGGCCGGCTTCTGGGACTGGGGACTGTGGAGCGACCCTCTGGCCCAGCCGCCGGATGGAGAGGTGGGGAAGGGGCTACGATTACGTAAGCCCTGCTCAGGCGGCGGCGGCCGCGGCGCAGTCCCAAGTCCCCACCCCGCCCCCTCCTCATTGTAGCCTCCGCGGAGGCAGTGGCTCGACCTGGACCCTCCCCTCCCCGCAGCCTGGCAGCGCGCGCACACACCTTACCTCGGCCAGGGCTTCTGGCTCATGCCACGCTGTCCGCCGGGCGACCTCGCGTCATGGGGAGCCCAGCACCAGAATCGCCAAACGCGGAGGCGGACAAGGTGCTGGACTGGCTAGCAGGGCCCGACTGCACCCGGCGACCGGCGCTCCGCGCCAGGGCCCTCTCGGCAGAGCCCAGAGCGGAGCTCCCCGGTGGGAGAGGATCCGCCGCCCTGAGCCTCCCACCGGGGAGGCTGAGGCTGTGCCCAGATAAATAAGGCCGCTTTGCAGGGAGCCGGGCGGGCGCCTCCTCCCTCCCTTTGCCCTCCTCCCTGCGCTCCTCCTCCGCGCTCCTCCCCGCGCTCCTCCGCGGCCGCCGCCGGCGCCGCGCGTGCCCCCCGCCCGGCCCTAAGAACCGCGCCCTCGCGCGCTCCCGACGTCCGGACCAATCCCGGCTCTCGGGCCAGGCTGAGGTGTCGAGAATCCCGAGTCCCGCCCCGCTCCGCGCAGCGCGCTCCCGGTGCGGTACCGACGGGCACGCGCCAAGCACCAGCACCCGCTCAGCGGCCGGTGCTCGCACAATAACAAACCCCGCAAGCTGCGCATTTGGGAGGACATTCGAGGGAAAAGCAGGGCGCGCGGCCGAAGAACAACTTCGGGTGCTCGATCTGCACGAAGCGGTGGCAACCCAGAATCCTGCCTGCTGAAGAGAGCTGGTGTCCTTGGCGCGAGCGGTTAGCAGTAGAGTTCCGAATTCTACGCAGATCCGGCCCTGTGTGCTCTTGCTTGGATAGCCACCTGCGAGGAAAGGGAGAGACATCAGCACGATCGCAACTCCACACACACCCCTTCCGCATGGCAGAGGGCAAGCCTCTGGGATCTCACATCCCTTCCTTTCCTGCTGCTGAAGAACCCTCCTTCGTGGTGATATAGTCACACACCAGCAGAAACCTGCAAGCAAATAACTAAAGCGAGTGTCAATGAAAACACGACAGTGTAGTGATAGTAGGAAGAGGTTATTTCTGAGAATGTCACAAACTATTTGGGACAACCCCCCTCCTCGAGGGGTGAGAGACAGGGATCAGGAATGGTTCAAGAAGCGGTGTGCAAAGATCCTAAGGCCTTAAGGAGTTCTTCAGGTTCCCTCTGGAATGAAGTGTCGGTCAGGTGGTAGCAGTCCATATGTCCCAGGGCAGGTGGTTTGTATAAAGGCTACCGGATAGCCGGGCCTTCCAACAGGCTAATGGAACCCCAATCTGGGGTCTCTTGGGAACAGGGATAACAGATGTGGGGATAGCAGAGTAGCATCTTTGAAGGGAGGAGCTGCGGGGTGAAGTGTTCTCAAATTTGCCCAAGTGGCGTTGGGAAATATGGTCTCGTGGGACTGTGAGCAGGGGAAGTAAGCTGGATCCTGGCTGGTGTGTGTGTGTGTGTGTGTGTGTGTGTGTGTGTGTGTGTGTGTGTACCTGGAGGTGAGAAGTTGATATTAGAATCCTCCTCTACCATTCTTTTATGTTTTATTGTTGTTGTTTTGAGACAGGGTTTCTCTGTGTATCCCTGGCTGTCCTGGTACTCCACCTATAGACCAGGCTGGCCTGGAACTAACTGAGATCCACCTGCCTCTGCCTCCTGAGTGCTGGGATTAAAGGCGTGCGCCACCACTGCCAAGCTTTTACCCTGTTTTTGTTTTTGTTTTTGTTTTTTTTTTTTGAGACAGAATCTCTCACTTAACTTGGGGCTCACCATTTACATTAGCCTGACTGACCTGCCAGTCCTCAGGATCCTCCTATCTGCCCTTCAATGCTGGGGGTACAAGCGGGCACTTCACCCACAGAGCTTTTCCCTAACCCATCACACCCTCCTTTCTCTTTCTTTTTTCTTTCTTGGGGTGTGTGGATGGACAGGCAGGTTCTCTCACTGGCTTGGAACTAGCTGACCAAGTAAGCTAGGCTGGCTGGTCACTGAGCCATAGGATATGCCTATGTTGGCCTTTCCAGCACTGAAGTTACAGCCACATGTCACAAAATTCAGTTTTTTTTTTTTTTTTTTTTTTTTTTTTTTTTGGTTTTTCGAGACAGGATTTCTCTATGTTTTTGGAGGCTGTCCTGGAACTAGTTATTTTAGACCAGGATGGTCTCAAACTCACAGAGATCCACCTGCCTCTGCCTTCAGAGTGCTGGCACTAAAGGCGTGTGCCACCACCACCCAGCTCAGCTTTTTTTTTAGTTAAAAAAGTTTAAACCAACAATCAAACTCAGGATCTTGTGCTTGCAAGACGACTGATTGTTTTCTTTTTTCTCCCTTTCTTCCTTTCTTCCTTTTGCTTTTCAAGACAGAGTTTCACTGTGTACCTTTGGAGCTTATCCTGGAACTTGCTTTGTAGACTGGTCTGGCCTTGAACTCACAGAGATCTGCTTGCCTTGCCTCCCAAGTGCTGGGATTAAAAGTGTACACCACCACTGCCACATTGCCAGGCTTACAGATGATTTCTTTCCAAGGCTTTTTTTTTTAAATATTTTTAATATGATGAAGCACTGTTCTTACAGTGGGGTCATTGAGTCCAGCTTGCCATAGCCAGGATCAAGGCAGGCTTCTGTGTGGCTGGGACTGGAGTGTCACTATCTTGCCTGGATATGGATCAAACAAGGTGGATTGTCATGGGACAGAAACTGGTGTAGATATTGAACCACCAGAGGGTGTCCTTTCCACTTATCTAGTTATTGTCCTTAGACAGGTAGCCAGCCAATGGGTGGTAAGAAGGAACCTTGGGCAGAGTGTGCTGTGCTGTGCTGTGCTAAATGCCTTGGCCTGGCCTTATGATGACCACACCCAAGTGTGAAAGGTATGAGGGAGGCCTAGGCACACAGTTGCCCTGGAACAGGTCCCAGAAAGTAGTTCTGTTTTTGAAAAAACAGCAATGAGGACACTTAGAAGATTATTGAGCACTGATCTGGGGGTGGGCCTCTCCTGCCTCCTCACATCAAGGGACCCACCAGCTTCCCTCTACTTCTGCCATACTCCCCAGATCAGACCTGTTTTCTCCTTCATGACATCATCGGTTTTCTTCTTACTGATCTCTTCCCCTCCTTCCTGCCTATTTTCCTCAGGGGTCAGTTGGTATGCAGTAATGGCCCATCAGCCTTAGCCTGCTATCTTCTCTACAGTGATCTGTAAGACTCCGGTTCCTTGGTCTCCACAAGAGCCAGGAGTGGACCACATCCTCATCTGCAGCACCTCTCTTACCTGGAGCAGCCTCTGTCACCTGGCCCTGAATGGATCTATTTGGCTCTCAGATTTGGCTGTCCTCCTAGGAACTTTCATTTCCATGTCTGCCCACAACACTGGAAACTTCTCAGTCTGGGTCTGCTGGCTTTCTGATGGTATAGTTACAGTGGTATAGTTACAGAACCCCTAGAGGGCCAAGGTGGGGTTGCCTGGGCACCCAGAAGAGCACGGGGAGGGTGTGCACACACACACACACACACACACACGTTGTCCTGGGGACAGGGAAACTGGCTTTTGAAGACCCTTCATCAAGGATTCCTGATTGCTTTTGGAGAACAGTTTACCTGAGACAAGGTCCAACTGGTTGTACAGGTGACTTTTCGTTTCTTTGCAGAATAGGAGGTAGCGTGTAGGACCAGTTCAACCAGGATGCTCTCTCTTCTTGGGTTAGTGTTAAGGGACTGATATTGGGGACATCTATGAACTTGGTTCCTAAGGATACAAGTCTCTCAGTGGAGAACACTGACCTGGAGCATCCTCACCTAGAGGACTCCTCATTTGATGCTCTCTCAGTTGGATCATCTTTTAATTGAAATATAGGTAACTGGAGTACCCCTCATGTGGAACACCCTCAACTGGAGCACCTTTGAACGAAAACACACTTAACTAGAGAACCTTTCACCTGGAGCACTCTTAGTGGGAGCACTCATTACCTGGAACACTTCTCACTTGGAGCACCCCTCTCTGGAGACATCCCTCTTTTAAAACTACTCCCATCATCATCACCCTTACCTTGATGTCAGAGCACAGAGGCCTGTCTCCTGCCCAGGACACTGGGGTCCAACTCTATAGGAACGGGGATTCTGCAGACCTGGGGCTGCTGGCACATTTGGCTTAGAGAGCTGAGGGAGCATCAGGGAACCACTCCCTGAGCCTAGAGTGATGACTGCACATGTTTCCCAAATCTTATCACAGGAGCTCCTCAGGCATGTCCTTGTGAAGCTCTAGTGTGGAGAGGGAGACACATGGCTGGGTCTCATTCTTCCCCAAACTCCTTCTGGGAAATGTGACTGGGTTCTAAGAAAGAGTGCCCTGAATACTTCAGTACTTTATTGGTGGTGAGCAACCCCCTCAAGGACAGAGTGAGTCATATTGGGTGTAGATAGGTACTTTGTGGCCCTGAGCCTCTCTACCCTCTTTTCCTACCTCTCCCTCCTTTACTTACTGTGTCTTTCTTTTTCCATTCTCCTTCCTTTCCCCACCGATATCTCCTGTTTCTCCACCCTGTCCCTGCCCAGAGCCAGAGGCTCAAGAACACTGAGGAGAAGCAGGTGGGGCAGCTGTCACCTAACTGTCCAGATGACAAGGTAAGGGCACCAAGGTTCCCTGGTGGCCTCTGCTCTGGCCTGGCCCGCCCCCTGTCAAGGCTGAGGATGACTCAGGGCCCAGCTGTCACCTCAGCAGCATGAGTCGTCGCCTAGTGATGGCGGTCTCCCAGCAACAGTCGTCTCCTAGCAATGGGATATTTTCCCCTGGCCCTGGCTGGAGCCAGTGGCTATTTATAGCTCAGCTTCAAATCAATCAGCAGCTGCATTTTGAACTCCTCAGGAGATGCAAGGTGCTGCAGGGTGGGCTTCTCAGCAAATGAAAACAAAACAAAACACAGAGATAGAAACCTTAATGCCGACCCCTTGAAGTGCTGGGCTGAAGATGGGTGCCCCAGCTCCCCATGAGAATGCTTGGGAGCTGGCAGCTATGATTATGTCCTGGATGAGGTCTCTGTGTTCAAGGGGCTGATGGGCAAATCACCCTGAAGCTGCTAATGTCCAGCTGGGTATGATGACTAAAGTCAGTGATCACAGTGTGTGCCACTGGTGCACTTTACTGGGTTCCCTGATATCCCCTGCCCATCAGTTGTAGGAACTGTCTCCCATGTTCACACCCAGCAGCCCCACCCATGCTCAGTCCTGGCTGTAATGGTCCTGGTGCCACAGGTCTAGCTAGGGACAAAGAAGGGTCTCTGGTCAGCTACATTAGTGCCCATCTGGCTTCAAGTGAAATTTGAGATCTGTGAAGAGGGGGGTGGTCTTGGGCAGGCAGGAGACTTGTCCCCTTTTTTAGTTTTTCTCACAAGATCAGGAAGTAACCTAAATTCACCCACTGCCAGTAAGTCTAGGGAACTGGCCCTGCCATTTTTTCCGTTTATATTTTGTGGTTGTGTTTGTTCAAAGCTCTATGGTCCTGGGACCATCGTGTCAACTCTCCTACATGTATCTCTTCCCCCAAATTGCCTTGTTAGATGGCCTGCTAATTGTGAGTCAGCTCCTATTTGCTGTCAACTCTCCTGCTGCATGCTGGGGCTATCTATCCTCCGCTCTCAGGGCCCGGCACACTATGGGTATGGCATCAATGTCCTAAATCTGCAAAGGCCAGTGTTACAGGGGACAGCCATGACTGGAGGTGGGCAGCCTGAGCAGTAACACTGGAAATAACACCCGAGGCTTCCCTTGGCTGCTACCCACTGCATCCTATGAAGTGCAGTACAACGCCCTGGGGAAGCCAGGGCAGGAAACAGGTGTCAGGATGGTTTCCAGCTTGAACAACCCCTGTGATGGCTAATTTTGGTTGTCAACACACTTGGGAAGAGAGAAACTCAATTGAGGAATTTCTTCCATCAGATTGGCCTGTGGGCATGTCTTTGAGGCATTTCCCTACCCCAGAGCACCTCTCTCTCTCTCTCTCCCTCTCTCTCTCTCTGTCTATCTATGTCATATTATGTATGTAACAATAATAATAAAAGAAAAAGAGGCTTGTTTTTTTTCTTAAGACAGGGTTTCTTGCTGGAGATATGGATCAGAGATATAGAGCACTGGCTGCTCTTCCAGAGGTCCTGAGTTCAATTCCCTGGGAACCACATGGTGGTTATTATAGCATCTATAATGAGATCTGATGTCCTTCCTCCTCTAGCCCACAGGGAGAACACTGTATATACAATAAACAAACAAAAAAATAAATAAATCTTTAAAAAAAGATGGGGTTTCTCTGTGTAGCCTTGGTTGTCCTGGAACTCATTCTGTAGATCAGGTTGGCCGCAGACTCAGAGATTAGCCTGAATTGGCATTTTCTTATCTCTTTTTTAAAATAGGATTTATTTATTTATTATGTTTACAACATTCTGCCTCCATGAATTCCTGCATGCCAGAAGAGGGCACCAAATTTCATTATAGATGGCTGTGAGCCACCATGTGGTTGCTGGGAATTGAACTCAAGACCTTTGAAAGAGCAGTCAGTGCTCTTAACCCCAGATTGGCATTTTCTTAATTGCTAGTTGATGTAGGAGGACTCAGCTATAGGAGGGGCTATTCTTGGGTAGGTGGACAAGCCAGAGAGAGCAGGCCAATAAGCGGCATTCCTCAATGGTCTCTACTTCAGTTTCTACTCTGGTTTCTTTCAATAATGGACCGTGATATGGAAGTATAAGCCAAATAAACTTTGTACTCCCAAAATTTGTTTTGATCAGTATTTTACCATGACAACAGAAAGTAACTAGAAAACCCTCTTTGAGTCAAAGGTCTTGAGATGCTGTGGCTGTTGGCTAAAGCCAGGCAAACTATCAGTTTGGAGCAATCATTGTGATCTCTAGCTTTCTAGAGGAGGCCACAAGCTTCCACGCACCATTTCACAACTTCTTGAAGTATACCTATGTTTTATTTGAGTGCCTTTTGTGGTTTTTGTTTTGACTTGTGTGGGATTAATGACCCATTCCTTAAGGTAAGGGCACTAAATTTTGAGACACCCAAGGAAACCTCCAACCAGAACATAAATAGTTAAGAGTTACCTGAGTTTTGGGGTGTCCTCATTTATCCATTTGCTTCTTTTCCTCTGGGTTTCTATCTATAAACACCTGTACCAGGTATGCTGGATCCTGAGGCTACTCATGACTCTCTGGGACCTATGCCCACGGGCAGCAGAGTTCTGACAGCTAATGATGTTCAAATGTCCTTTCCCTGACAGTTGTGGAAGAGGCATCTGTTCTGCTCTTCTCCCAGGGTGATAGAATCATTGTTATGCTGTTTAAAGATGAAGATGGGGATGGAGAAGTCTGCTATAAAGATTCAGGTCAGATGAGAACTTTTTTCAGACCAGGTTACCCCTTGGAGTCCCTCTATTGCTAGGACTGAAGCCATTTCTTCTGGAGAAGGCTAGGGTAGGGAGTCAACTCCTTGAAACTGGCCCACTCATGCCCCATATCACCATTAGAGGGCGCCTGCAGACTACTGTCTGCCTCAGAGGCCTGGGCTGAGGAGACTGCCAAAGAATAACCAAAGTGCCCTGCAACTTCTTAGGCGGGGACAGCTGTGGTTGACCCCTGGATATCCAGGGTTGACCCAGGTGTTCTATGTCCTTCTGTGAAATAACTTGGCATCTGCTATGATTTCGTCATGTTGTGTGATGTCTTTTAATTGAAAATATTTTATTTATGATTTATTTTTTAAACTTTTAAATGTGTGTGTGTGTGTGTGTGTGTGTGTGTGTGTGTGTATTCATGTGTTCATGCATGTGAGTGTATGTGCCTGTGGAGATAAATTTGTCTAATCTCCTGAAGCTGGAGTTACATGCTGTTGTAGTCCTCTTGATGTGGATTCTGGGAACACATGTTCAGGTCCTCTGCAAGTGAAATATTGTGTTCTTAACTGCCAAGTCATCTCTCCAGCCCATTTTATTTTATTATTATTTGTTTGCTTGCTTTCATGAGACAGAGTTTCTCTGTACCTTTGCAACCTGTCCTGGAACTCTCTTTGTAGGTAAGGCTGTCTTCAAACTAACAGAGATCCATCTGCCTCTGCCTCCCAAGTGCTGGGATTAAAGGTGTGTGCCACCCCCCCCAGCTTATTTGTTGTTTATTGAGACAATGTTTTTATGTAGTACTGGCTGTCTTGGAGCTCTCTAAGTAGACCAGGCTGGCCCCGAACTCATAGAGATTCTCCTGAGGTAAGCAGATCTCTGTTAGTTGGAGGCCAGCCTAGTCTACACACTGAGTTCCAGGATAGCCAGGGCTCTTACAGAAACCCTATCTGTAATAAATAAGTAATAAATAGCTAGGCATGGTGACGTATGCTTTTAATTCCAGTACTCAGGAGGCAGAAGTAGGCGGATCTCTGCAGTTCAAGGTCAGCCTGGTCTACGAAAGAGTTCCAGAACAGTTGGGGCTGTTACACAGAGTAAGCCATTTACATAAAAGTCTTGCAAGGTAGGGATTTAAAAAAAAAAGTTGAATTCAGGGGCTGGAGAAAGGGCTCAGAGGTTACAAGCATTGTCTGCTCTTCCAGATGTCCTGAATTCCATTTCTAGCAACCACATGGTATTTCATAACCATCTGTAATAAGATCTCATGCCCTCTTCTGGCCTGCAGGCATAGTACAGGCAGAACACTGTATACATAATAAGTAAATCTTTTTAAAAAGTATTTGATTTCCTTACCGTAACCATACTTTTATAGTATTAGATAGAAAAGATTCATATTTAATTTTTCTTACAGTGAGACACACCACACTTTATCAAGAAGGCTGTGGTCATTTTAACAAATTTTGACTATTACAATACCTTGTTTTGAACTCTTTGTTTAGGGAAAGAAGCCAGTTGAACCTCCTATTGGTCTGAGAGGGCCTTGGATTCCAGGACAGGGTCATCAGTGTTTCCAAGTTCTTCTTCTGTAAGCTGGCAGCAGGACTAACTGCTCTTGCCAGTGACATCACTGGATCTCATTTGTTCCTGAGTCCAGGTCCAGGCCAAATGAAGGGTTTCAAAAGGAACCAGGAGGACAATGGATACAGAAGTAGAGTCGTGGGGTTGGAGATGCTCAGGGACTTCCTAAAGCCTCCCTCTGACTTCAGTCTCCTTTACCCTTCCTTCAGGTCAAAAAAGCTCTTTTTCAGGGTTTCAAATTGACTCTAGCATGCTTGTTTGTTTCCATTGTGAGGGGGCTTGGTTTTTCGAGACAGGATTTCTCTGTGTAGCTTTGGAGCCTGTCCTGGAACTTGCTTTGTAGACCAGACTGGCCTGGAACTCATAGAGATTCACCTGCCTCTGCCTCCCAAGTGCTGGGATTAAAGGACTGTGCCATCACCACCCTGCTTGTTTTTTTCTTTTAAGAGGGTCTCATGTAGTCCAGACTGGCCTTGAACTCACTCTGTAGCCAAGGATGACCTTGAACATCTGCTCTCCTTTCTCTACCTCCTAAGTGCTGGGATTATAGGCATAACCCATTACAATCAGTTCAACATTATTTAGAAGATCAAACCCAGAGCTTCATGCCTGAGTGGTAGGCACTGAATAACCTAGCCACATTCCCCATACCCCCTGGGCTATCTTTGAAATTCTGTTTTAGTTGATCTTGTAGGACTTGCACTGTGGCATCGGCAAGTACTTTGTGGCTTTGTTTCCAGTCTGTGGATCCGCAGGCAGGTATCCATAGTGTCTCGTTTTTCATATTCATTTAACACTCACAAAGTGTGCAGGTGGGTTTGAAAAAGCATAGTGCAGAAAGAGATCCACTCTGCCCATGCTGCTCCTTGCATAGCTAGCCAGTGCACTTCTTCCCCAAATCCAAGGCTTGGTTTAGCATCATGACCCTAGGCTTATCAGGACCCTCTGTATCCTCCCTTATGGGACGCAGGGACACAGGGGTTCTAATCCCTCTTCTGTAGAGTACCAGCAACAGGGTACCAGAGTTCAGATGTTGGCTGCAGACTCCACTCCCTCTCTCAGGAAGCGACAGTCCTACTGCCTACTGAGGTCCATTGATTGAAGGCCAAGTAAAGTGAGCAGCCTTCCAGATTCCGAAAGTGGACAGAGATCCCCCACCCATCCACCAAAGGTTCCAGGGTACTGGAGATCGCCAGATGGGGAGACAAGAACGCTACATACTCCCTGGACCGCGCTCCCGCCTTCAACCCGCCCCGCCCCCAAAAGGGCGCTGCAATTGGTGGAAAGTTCTGGGGCTTGTGGCGATTGGTCCGAGAGCAAAGGCCCCGCCCCCATAGTATCGGAGCTCAGAGAGAGCTGTGCCGGGGGGCCGCCGGTTGTGGGGGACGCGCCGGGCCGGGCGGCCGCGCCGCGGGCTGCTACCGCTGCGGCCCGGACCTCCCGGGGCAGCAGCCCGAGGCCCCGGCGCGTCCCCGAGCCATGTCGGTAGCCGCGCTTCTCTGCGCGCTGTGCTGTGGCCTCTTGGCCACTTCTGCTCGTGCCGGCTACTCCAAGGACCGCTGCAGCTGGAGGGGCAGGTACGGTCCCTAGGAGGGACTATGGGGAGGGCTTTTTTTTTTTTTTTTTTTTTTTTTTTAATTTTGTGTTGGGGGTCCTCCCTCCCACTGGAAACTGAGGAAGCACAGACCTCAGTGTCCTGTTCCACAGAGTGGACGCAGGTGTTGGTAGCTCCGGGAAAGGGGGGTGAACCGGCTAGGGGAACAAGGGCCACCCGTCTGAGACCCACCGTCCTGTCCCCAGCGGCTTGACCCAGGAGCCCGGCAGCGTGGGGCAGCTGACCCTGGATTGTACTGAGGGCGCTATCGAGTGGCTATATCCAGCCGGGGCGCTTCGCCTGACCCTGGGCAGCCCCGATCCGGGCACGCAGCCCAGTATCGTCTGTCTGCGCCCCGCGCGGCCCTTCGCTGGTGCCCAGGTCTTCGCTGAACGGATGGGCGGCAACCTGGAGTTGCTACTGGCCGAGGGCCCAGACTTGGCTGGGGGCCGCTGCATACGATGGGGTCCCCGCGAGCGCCGGGCCCTTTTCCTGCAGGCCACACCACATCGCGACATCAGCCGCAGAGTTGCTACCTTCCGTTTTGAGCTGCACGAGGACCAGCGTGCAGAAATACCTCCCCAGGCCCAAGGTCTTGGTGTAGATGGTGAGTGACTAGACTGGCTGAGGAGGAGGTTGGTGTCAGGAAGTGGCTCTCTAACCAGGCCTAAACACCCCATTGCACAGAGGGTCCATCCATAGCTTGCCAGAGACCACTCTGTTGGAGGAGAGTGGCTTCCAGGTCATAGAGAGTGGGTTGGGAGTGCTCCTTCCTTTCCCTCTTCAGGGTTTTAGGGAAAGATCAGGAGGGCGCAAAAGCAGGAGAGGCCAGCCTTGTGCCTCTGGTTTTGAAGGGTTGGGGGAAGGGGTGGGTTGGGGCAGAATCAAAGCCTATGGCCAAAGCTGTCCAGGGCTCCCTGGCCCGGTGGTGACCTCCCTCCCCTCCCCCAGCCCAGCCAACAAAAGTCCAGTGTGCCTCTTCGTCACCATGGAGACGCCTGCCCTGCCTCCCTGCAGGGCACCAGGCCCAGTGCTTTGCTCTTCTGGAACTTGCAGCCTGACCCTGCAGGGGCTGGCTCTCTGACTGTTCTGCCCTAGCTGGGGACCCCAGAACCAGAGTCCACCAGAATGTCCTACCACCCTAGCTGGGCCTGTGAGGCAGCTCTGAGAGGTCTCAGAATGTTCTTCAGCGTTGGTGTGAGTTTATGAGCTGGTGTGCAAGAATGTGTATGAGGCAGTGAGGTATCCATCAGTAGGTATGTGCCAAGAGATGCACCATGGCTGCTAGTGTCTTCAAATTGTATGATTGCTGGGAGAAGGGTTTAACCACACCTCTGGGACCCTTTCCTGCTGGGAGGGGCCGTGGGCTTGTGCTGAGAGAGCACAGGCTTGGCTGATGATCTGCCTTGCATGCTAGGTGCCTGCAGGCCCTGTAGTGATGCTGAGCTCCTTCTGGCTGCATGTACCAGTGACTTTGGTGAGTATTCTGTCGTGGGAGAGTTTAGGGTCTGCCCTGCATTCCCACATGCCCACTACTGGTCATCATGTCTCTTTGCAGTGATCCATGGGACCATCCATGGGGTCGCCCACAACATGGAGCTGCAAGAATCAGTCATCACTGTGGTGGCCACCCGTGTCATCCGCCAGACACTGCCACTGTTCCATGAAGAGGGCTCAGAGGGCCAGGGCCAGGCCTCCATTCGTACCCCATTGCGCTGTGGTGTGCGCCCTGGCCCGGGCTCCTTCCTTTTCATGGGATGGAGCCGATTTGGTGAAGCCTGGCTGGGCTGTGCTCCCCGCTTCCAAGAGTTCAGCCGTGTCTATACAGCTGCCCTAACAGCCCACCTCAACCCATGTGAGGTGGCACTGGACTGAGAGCCCTGGGAGCAAGCCCCCGCCGGACCTTCTCCTGGGAGTGGGATACTGGGGAGGGGTGGTAGGAGGGTGGGTGGGAAGGGTGTGGCTCAGACTGCACGCTGGTACCCACAGTGAGGTGATAGGATACTAAATTTCCTGGATCACACCCAGCTCTGCCCTGCCTCACTCTTTTCCTGCTGCACTCCTAACCCTTCTTAGCCTGCCCGCCTGCCCCGCTGACCCAGCTGACTGGTGAGCCCCTATCTTCCTCTAACTCCAGGAGCGCTGAAACTCTCAAGACTTGGGCTGATTGAGGTCCTTTAGGTGGCCTGGGGGGCAAGCGGATGGACACCACTTCCAACTCTGAACTAGGTCTATTGGGGGTGTGCTGTAGCCTGGCAGTGTGCCATTCCCTTCCATACAGTCATCCTTGGCCTGGTCCCGCCCTTGGGGAAGAATGGGCCCCTCTGTCCGGAGGCCCCTGCGACGTGCTGAGCATCCAGACATGGCAAAGCGCCTGCAGGGTGTGGGGTCTCCACTGCAGGATCCTGCTTGTTCGTTTCCGGCGGGAGAAGTGCACAATGAGGTCTCTAAGGACTGTTTCCCGCCACTGGCCCTATTGTTGCCATCCCTGCCTTCCTCCTGGGCCTCTTTATTTCATAAAGGGCTAGTGAGACCCTGGACAGACAAAGCCAGTGGCCTGAAAGCCCATAAGTGAGGTGTGCACTAGTTTCTCAGGCCCCAACCTAGCACATTCCTGCCACTTCTCCCTCATGGCTTCTGAGAAACGGCTTCAGCTCCAGTGCTGGGTGGAGTGGGAGTGGAGTTCCAGAAATGGCTTTCTATCCTTGCATGCCCTCCCTTTAAGGCTTTCTTTCATCCACGATCATCCCAGTGGACTATTCATTCCTTGGTAAGAAGCAGGCGGGAGCGGGACATGGCTGGGCAGGGACCAGACATATGGTTCTTGGCTGCAGACTTTGCCAATGAAGGTACCACACCCTACATAGGCCCTGGATGGCTACCTCAGAATGTTTATAGGCAGATAGTTTAAATAACACCTGAGCATATTCTGGGGTTGGGCAAAGAGCATGCTTCTTTCACTCAGACTGTCTGTTGATGGAGTGGGAGGAGAGATGAGGGTCAGAGGTCACTCCTGAAGAGCAGGCAACACCATTTTCTTCCACCATCTATCTGCTTCTGAGCTGGCTCCATGCTACTTATTCTCATTTCCCAGAATTCCATGAAGTGTTAATAGGGGAAGACCGGGCCAATGGCCTCATGTTTGCTCTAGGGAAAGCGATGAAGGCCCCAAAGTGGAAGCAAAGCAGCAAAGGGTCTGAGCAGGCGGGCTGAAACTGCAGGAACTAGCCTGAGAAAACCTGTGTGGAGACCTCCAAGTAGTGCTTTGTGTGGGTGCCAGTGTCAGGAAAAGTTGCCAGGGCTTTCTGGGTGCTCTAGGCCTTCAAATACTGTCAGGAGCAGCAGATAAGAATAGCTGTGCCCAAGCAACCCTGTCTAGAATTCTGCGTGGGAGGGCCCTGTTACAGTTCTCCTGGTGACCAGATTCTGAGCTAGGTGCAGCAGAGCCTCTCTCCACAGAATACACATATTCCTGCTGCCTCAGGACACCCCTCCTTCAGACTGTTTTGGAGGGACACATTCTGCACCTGGGAGACAGGGTTGTGGTCTTGGGCATGCTTTATTTGGGAGTCATTACCATCTCTGCTAGAGATAGCTGAGGAAGATCAGGCCAGGACTGTGCAGACAAGGAGGACCTGACGTTCACTGCCATTTAGCTTTAATGTGCATGGTCAGGATCCAGCAGATTGACTCAAGGCTTTATCTGTTTTCATGCTGGGCCTTAGTAGGAGTCACTCAACCCTTTATTTTTGAAGGAAGGAGACCTTCCGGGCTCCCTAGCTGTCTTTCACCCCAAGCTGGGCCAGCTGCCAGCACCCAGCCACTCACATCCGGCCCCCTCCCTCCCCACTCACTAGAGAGCCAACATCTGTCTGTATCTGCCCGCCCTTCTCCTTCGACCCCAGAACACGCTCTATTTCCCTTCTAATTGTCGTCGCTGTCGGAGGGACTAGAAGGACGTCCTCCGTGGGTTGCGTCTGGGTGTTTGGTAGGCTTCAGGAAGTCTTGGTCAGCAGTATCCACATGAGGATGACTTCCAGTTATAGTGGCCCCTGTTTTAACCCGGGTCTGCGGGACAGGAGCAGTGTGGCCTTAGGGAGACCTAGAGCTGAGATTCCATATAGTTGTCTGCAGGATGGACCCAGAAACTGGCCTCTGCAGATCTTAGACCAAAGACCTACAAGGGGCAAACCCTGTAAGGCTGGCCTAAAGCCTGTGTCATTGGGATCCAATACGGAACCCACGGGAGGGGCCGAGGCCGACTGGGAGGAGAAAAATGAGTGACGGACTGGCCCCACGGGCCCGTTCCACTTCCGGCATCTCATCGCCACCTCTCCTAGACTGTCGCTGCCACGGCTGGGGTAGGCGCTGGGCAGAGAGAGTACGGCTCAGGCTGGCGGTACCCGGAAGGGCAGTCGCCTCCAGTTCCCGGCTGGGGATCTTGAAAAGGACGGCTCTGAACTGCGAGTCTCTCAACCATGGATCATGACGACCCGGCCGAGGCGTTGACTGCTCTGCGCGAGAGGCGGCCAGGCTTACTGGAGATATTGCAAGCGGCGGCAGGCTCGGGGTTGGCTGCCTACACCGTGTGGGCACTGCTTCTGCAACCCGGCTTCCGCCGCGTGCCTCTGAGGCTGCAGGTGCGACGTGGGGCCTTAGAAGGAGCAGGACCAAAATTGGTTCTAGACGCAGATCAGTGGGTGGGATCAAGGTTACAGCAGGTAGGCTCGTAAAGATGGGCGGGACCAATTACAGGTGCAGGATCTAATCAGGGGACCAGATGTACGGAGAGGTGAAACAAATACGTTGCAGGGGCTAGGTCTACTGTCATGACCAAGGGAATATAAATGAAGCTAGGATTGAATTACTGAAGGGGTGCGGGCAGTGGTGTGTGTGGAGGGTGGGTGGGGCTGCCACTGGGTGTGGCAGATATCTAAGGAAGGAAAGCTAGTAGGCACACAACAGCCTCCAACTGGTGCTTTGGTCTGTGGGACTCTAGCCTGAGCCCACCAAATTCTTTATTCAGGTGCCCTACGTTGGCGCGAGTGCCCAGCAGGTTGAGCACGTGCTGTCGTTGCTGCGAGGCCGCCCTGGAAAAATGGTGGATCTAGGCTCTGGTGATGGCAGGATCGTAAGGCCTGTGTGTCTATTCGTTGTCCCTCCCACGGTGACCCCTACCCTACATCCAGGTCCCACACTCTTGGCTTTCATAGGTGCTGGCGGCCCACCAATGTGGTCTCCGTCCAGCTGTGGGTTATGAGCTGAACCCGTGGCTTGTGGGACTTGCACGGCTGCATGCCTGGAGGGCTGGTTGTTCCGGGAGTGTCTGCTACCATCGAAAGGATCTCTGGAAGGTAACCCATCAAACTTCATTTTCTTTCTCTTTCTTTAACTTTTTTTTTGGGGGGGGCGAGACTTGGTCTCTAGTCACTGTGTAGCCTAATAACGTTGAACTACTGCCTCTACCTCATGAGTGCTAGGATTACAGGCATGTGCCATCAGACCTAGTTTATGCAGAACTGAAGATCAAACCCAGGACTTTGTGTATGCTAGGCAAGCACTCTACTGACTGAATCCCACCTCCAGCTCCTGATAACTTTATCTCCCAGGTTTCATGCTGTGAGTGCTACCTCACTGATACCTGGGTGGGCTGGAAGCTAGAACTCAGTGACCCTGTGGCTTCCAGCCTTTATCTTTGTTTCCCACAGGTGAGCCTCAGAGACTGTCACAATGTGTCTGTGTTCCTGGCCCCCAGTGTGGTAGGTCTTGAGTCTGCTGTCCTGCTGGGAGGTCAGGGCCACACTCTTGGCTGTTCTGAGGCCAGGAATAGGTTCTGGGCCTAGCTGGATGGGGCAGCTTTTTCTTACCTGCTGCTGTGCCCTCCTCCCTTGTGTTCTTTCCTACAGCTCCCACTGCTGGAGGGCAAGCTGCAAGAAGAGCTACCTGCAGGGGCCCGTGTGGTGTCTGGACGTTTCCCCCTTCCCACCTGGCAGCCTGTAGCTGTGCTGGGTGAGGGCCTGGACAGAGTCTGGGCCTATGATATCCATGGTACTGGTCCAGCTGTGTCTTCTTGTGGGGTGCCCATCAAGGCCATCCCAGAGTCCACCTCTACCTCCATTCCCAGGACTCTTGTTTGACTGGCTGAGTGATATAATAAAGACTCTGTGGGTTCAATTCTGATTCTTGTTTATTCCAGGAATTGCTCCATGGGATGGGGTGTGCAGTGGGTTCCATGTTGGCTATGAAGAGGTTTGGTGTGTGCTGTCTCTGGGAGATAAGCTAGCTAATGACTCCGGGTCCTTGGGCGCCGGGGCCTAGTAGAAGCCGTAGTTTCTATTCCCTGTGGATCTCCTGTATTCACCAACTTCCTCAGTCTCTGGATTTCCTGCTTGTATCTGATTGGGATGATCAGAAAAATACCTGTCTGGCCATGGGTTCTTTCCCTTCTACCTAGATTAGAGCCCTGGGATTAGATTCCTTGGGCCTACCTGCCCAAGTGCTGATCCACATACTCTTGTAGCTCAGAGAGCTGCTGCTCTGCCATGGTGGCCCGGACCATCAGCTGTGCTCGCTCTCGTTCTAGTTCTGCCTGGTGGGGGTATGGGCCATGAGCCAGGGCAGTATGTAGGGAGGCCCCCCCCATTCCTTGTCCACTACCTGGGTGTCCTGGGAGAAGTCCTGTAGCTTCTGCTGGATTTGGGCCCAGGATGCAGTATCCAGGGCCCTGTGAGGGGAGGAGGGCAGGAGGGACAATGTCTAAGGCAGACATAATATCTGCTGTGTGATTTTAGGACAGCGTAGCACTGCCTGGGGCCCTCTGGCCCGCTCAGTGACCCCTGGTCTACTAGGTGTCTTCTTCCCCAATCCCTTGGAGGTGCTGCCTCAAGAGCCTGCCTGCTATACAGCAGGTGTAGAGGCCCAAAGCTGGGGCTGGCCACACCACCAGACTGTCAGCTCCCACCAAATCCAAGTTTCACCTATCAGATGCTTAACAAAGCAGCCATCCATTTTTTCCTATGGTTACCAGTGTCCCCCATACAAACTGAAATAGAGCAGGGATAGGAGAACTCCAGCCAATAGCAAGGGATGCCAGAATAAAAGAAAGCTGTGCAGCTTTCTGCCTGACTCCTAGCCTTCCCCTACATAAACAAGAGGGCACTTACAGAGGCTGTGACTGGCCCTCCTTGGAAGTGTCACCAGGTGCCTTTTCTGGGTACAGTAGCAGTGTCCTATGTTGGCCATACTGTAAAAGGACATAGTGGGTTCCCTTGATTGAATGAGGCCAACCGCTCAACGGCTCGGAACTTGGGATGAGGCTTAGGGTGAGTGCTAGGGCTCTGGGTTTCAAGGCAGTTTCAGGCAGCAGGGATGAGGCACTTGGACCCCAGAATTACCTCATCCTCCCTTCGGTGGCTGAGTTCGGTGGCCCACTGCATGGGTAATGGTTCCAGGTTGATGGCTGTTGCAAAAGTAGCCCTGGGAATAGTACCATGTGCCCTGTTGGTTTCTATTTGTGCCTAGGACTGTTCCTGCAGCATGCTAAGCCACAGTGCAGGTCATGTGCCACCCCAACCCAGGTGCCTAGGTCAGGGTGGAGCCCACCTGCATGTGGTTAGCAGCAACTCCTGCCTCCGGCTCAGATCGGCCAGGCGCTTGCGGTAGGTCCGGGCAGCTTGGGCCAATTGTTGCTCTCTGCTTCGGTGTGTGGTCCGAATGTCCTGCAAAGCAGCCTCCAGGAATGCTTGAAGGGCTGCTTGATCTGTGCTATTAGCAGTCTCCTGGAGGAGGTGGGATAGGATAGAGCTAGGGTTGGGGCTGGCTTTGGACTAGGTTAGGCAGCCAAGCTGGAGGAGCTAGGCTTGAGTTGGGCAGGGTAGCACCGATTGAGCCCAACCTCACCTCCTACCCCAGCAGGTTGTGCAGCAGACCTGGAGCCACAAAGTTTCCCCATAACTGTCTAGCATGCCCAGGCCAGACTTGCACCCCTCAAGACTCAGAGGCCACGTCTGACCACCACAGAACCTAACATAGTGCTCACCACTGTCTCTTTGGCATAACGCTGCAGCCGGACAGCATACTCCTCATTCAACTTCTTCAGCTGCAACTGCAGCTGAGCATTTTCAGCTTCTGCATTCTGGAGCTGTCCCTGACAGGTAGACAGCACCTGGGAGTGCACGAGGAGGAGCTCTTGTTCTGTTTGTAGCCCTACCCCCTTTGCTAGATCTTGAGGCTCCCAGGGTGGCTAAGCCCTCACCATGGCTTGGGCAGCCAGTCGCTGACCAGCTACCCTGGCTTCCTCTTGGGCTCCCTGCAACTGCCGGCCTAGGACTGCCCTGTGAACACAGTACAGGTTTAACTAGGCCAGGGTTAGGTACTCCCTCATCCCCTGAAGAAGGATCTTTCTGGGCACTGGGCTCTGCTGGTTCTAGGTGAGGTGAAACTCACACTTGAGTCTCCAGTGCCTGCTGCCTGACTCTGTGATGCTCCAGGACCCATTTCAGATCTTCCTGAAGCTTCTGCTGGCCTCCCAGTGGCTGCAGGGTGAGCAAAAGCTGGCTAAGTGAGAGACACTCTGGAATTCCCGCAGCCCTGTGCTAGGTGGCTGTGCACTCACAATGCTCATACTCACAGCCTTAGAGTCTGTCTTGCTTGAGCTGCACCTTCATGGTCAGAAGGGAAGCAAGGGGAGGGGAGGGGAGGGAGTAGGCGACACCCATTTCACTGCCCCTGTGGAGGTGCCCAGCCTGGCTCTCTAAGTGCTCATGGTAACCTGGCGTCTATGGCAGGTGACATTCAGGCTTGGGCTTCTCCACTAACCTCTTGTGGTGGCACCTGGTGGTGCCCTGGATTGGCTGCAGGTTGGACTCTATGTCCCCGGCAGTCACCATTTCCATGCAGCTCTAGGTCTAGCACCCGACTTTCCAGTCGAAGAACCTGTGGACATCAAGGGTGAGCATGGCTGTCTGCTGGACCGCCTGAAGCAAGTAGCACATATATAGGGGCCAGGAAAAAGCCTTCAGACACAAAGTACATGCTTACTCCAAGGCACATGAACCCCTTAATGGCACTTGTTCTGGGTATGCACTCTGCTCCTGAATGCACTCAGGCAGGCTGACACACGTAACTTGCTTGGCTACTCACTTCCCTCTTCAACTCAAAGACCTCAGCTTCATGCTGTTCACGAAGGCGATGGGTTGCAATCTGAAGATCAACTAGCTCCTTGGAAATCTGTGGGTAACCAGGGTGAGAGATGCTGCCAATGGCTTCATTAGCTCTCCGCTCCTACTGCAACCCACAGCCCCTCATCCACCTGCAACTGCTGCTTCTCATTCAGTACTGGATCTGTTTTATACTCTGTCTCCAAGCTGGTAGCCCAGGCTGGGTGTCCAGAAACTCTTGGCAGCCAGTCCTCAGCCCCTGGAACAACCTAGGAAGGCACCACCACCACCCCACATTTAGGTGGATCTCCAGCCTGGCCTCTGGACCCCACTCTTATAGAGACACTCCAGTCCTCTTGAACAAGGTCGGCTCCTTCTCTGGGCAGGAACAGACACAGGATCCAGGGACTTCATCCCTTCTGATCTATGAAGGAAAGGAAGGACCCCAAGACAACATCAATGTCCTAGAAAGACTCACGTTCTCTGTGACTTGAAGTGGGGCCCCTGGCCTGGGGCCTGGGGCTGCCACATACTCCATAGGGGAGAGGAACTCTAGCCCAGGACTTGTCTGATGGAGGCTTGCTTCCTGACTGTTGCTGTGAGTGTTGCCAGTGTTGCCAAGGCATCTGTTGATCTTAGAAACTACCTATCCTGCCTACAAGGAAGGGCAATGCTGTTCAGTGCTTACAAAGAGAGGAGAGTGCTTCACTCCTTCCACATTCCATTCCTTCATGGGCCCCATCTGGGAAATACAGACAGGCACCCCGTTTATTTCAGACTAGCTGGATCCAGGAGTCCATGACAACGCCAAACCTGTACTTGTAGTTGTGGGCACTATTTTTCTTTATATGGGATGTCCTATGCTGCGCCCCACCCCCACCCGTAGGGATTTGTAACTCTAAACTCTTTTATATCTTCCTGTGTCAGCCAAACTCACAGCAGCAGGTGAACAAGCGGGACAAACCCCACCGCCCTCTATCTGAGATAAGAGGGCATCATCAGGTGTAGTGGGCAGTGAACCTCGATGGCAAGCTCAGTCTGAGCACCAGGAAGGTTAACTTGAGGAGGTGCCAGTGCCTGATCCTGAGTTGGAGCATGCTCACTCCGCCACACTGCGCCCTATCCGTGCGTGCGTGTATTCCCTTTTGCGCAGGCGCAATTCCTGCGGTTTCGTGTCCCGTTTCAGCAACACTCAGGATCGCGCCTGGGGAGTGGGGGAGCGTTGTGGGCAGCGTCTACACTCTGTCAGGGACACTACACTGGCGGCTCATGTGTGAATGAGGAGGACAGCAAGGAACGAGGTTAATCCAGGCCTTGGGGACTCTAGCTGAGAGAGGAGGGGCCTGTGGAGGAAGGCGGGGCCCACTGGAATCATGGGGCGGGGCTAGAAGAAAGCCGCAATGCTGTGTAGCTTTTGAGGGAAGGTGAAGCAGGGACAAGGGGCGGGGTCTAAAGTGGGCAGGGTCTGGTCCCTGAGTCTTGCTTGGATTTTGGAACTGAAGCGGTCCACTGAGAAGCTCCCGGGCAGCAGACTAACTTTGTACCCCCAGTGTGTGTGTGTGGCTGACCTGCCTCGTGCAGCTCAGGAGAAGAGATTCACTAGACTGGGGTACCTCTTTTAGAGAAGGTGCGTACTGGCTGAGGTCTGCAACTATGAAGGTCAAAGTCATCCCGGTACTTGAAGACAACTACATGTACCTGATCATTGAAGAGCATACACGGGAGGCAGTGGCTGTGGACGTGTCTGTGCCCAAGAGGGTGAGGACGGACAAAAGATGTCATCAAGGGACTCCCTACCTCTCTGGCTGGAGCAGACCCGAACTTCTATATTTTTACTGCATTTGATGTATTATCTTTGGGTTCCCCTGAAGTTATAGCTACCTTTGGTGTTCATGGTGCCTTAGTACTTGTAATTATCTGTCTGATGTCTCACCTAACCCTTGTTGCCCTGAGTTCTGAGCCTACCTGGAGAACTAAGCTCTGAACCTAGTGCTCCAGTATGGGATGGGTGGCCCACAGCACTACAACTCTTTCCTTTCAGTTGCTGGAGATTGCAGGCCGGGAGGGGGTGTCTCTGACCACGGTGCTGACCACCCATCACCACTGGTAAGGAGGGTGTGCACCAAGGCCTAAGGCAGACTCCTCCACTAGCACCCTGGCTTGACCAGGCTCCTGCACTTCCACAGGGACCACACACGTGGAAATGCAGAGCTGGTGCACCTGCGGCCGGGACTGGCAGTCATGGGAGCTGATGAGCGCATCTCCGCAATAACTCGCAGACTGGCACATGGGGAGGAGCTTCGGGTGAGCATGTACCCAGAGGAGTGGGGAGGGTCCTGGCCTGGGCCTGCCCACCAGCCCTCACAGATCCAATGCCTCACATCGCAGTTTGGGGCCATCCACGTGCGATGCCTCTTGACGCCGGGCCACACCACTGGCCACATGAGCTACTTCCTGTGGGAGGATGAATGCCTGGACCCACCAGCCCTCTTCTCTGGTACCTTGCAATCTGGACTCATCCACTTATGCAATTCTACTGTGCCCTCCCTACCCCCTTTCTGACCCTCTTTCCTCTCTAGGGGATGCTCTGACAGTGGCAGGCTGTGGCTGGCATCTGGAGGACACTGCCCAGCAAATGTACCAGAGCTTGGCCAAGATCCTGGGTACCCTGCCACCTCAGACGGTGAGAGAACCTTCTGTGGGGTCCACATGGTTGGTACTGGACTTCTTGCTGGTACAACCTGTGCTTCTGTACCTGTCCTCCTTTGGTAAAAGTGGTGTGGACCAGGGTGGGTTGGATGCTAGGTTAGGGATGAGGGCCTGCCCCTTCCTTGGCCTGGGGCAATGTGTGTTCACTGAGTTCCCTCTTCTTGCAGAAGGTGTTCTGTGGTCATGAGCATACACTGAGCAATCTTGAGTTTGCGCAGAAAGTGGATCCCTGCAACAACCATGTGCAAGCTAAGCTGTCCTGGGCCCAGGTACATCCATTTCTGGCTCCGCAGCAGGGGTGGGGGCAAAAGCAGCCTTCCTTAAGTTTGGAGGAAGTGCAGCAAGGGAGTCAGTCACTGGGGAGCCAGAGTGAAGCTTCTGCTGGCTACAGCTGGCTAGGCCAGGTTTTGCCCTGCTGCAGACTTTCTGTCACCTACCTTAACCTCCTTGTGGCTGTCTGTGGAGCCCAGTTGTGATCAGGGGCCTGTGTTTTTTGCAGAAGAGGGATGATGATGATGTACCTACTGTGCCTTCTACACTGGGCGAGGAGTTCTTGTACAACCCTTTCTTGAGGGTGACGTAAGTATGGCTGTGTCCTGGGCCTTCCTGTGGTGGGGCCTGAGCCATACCAGTGGGTGGGGCAGCCTCAAGAGGCTGTGTGCACTGCCAGCTGGAGTCTCCCCATGGAGCAGTCTCAGGATTAGCCTGGCATCCTTGGGGCCTCTTTGGCAGTCATTTGGGTAGTTAGGAGGGTATCTAGGGACTATTTATTGAGCTGAATGTCCCTGGCACCAGAGAAGGGCATTTGTTAAGGGCCCTCCTCCTTCCATCCACTGCCCCGATGGGCCCCACCCCCATGGGCAGCTGGCCAGCCCCACAATTCCCCAGCATACTCTTCCCTGTAGAGAGGATGCGGTTCGTGAGTTCACAGGCCAGGTGGCACCTGCCCAGGCCCTGGAGGTACTCTGCAGGGAGCGAGCGCGCTTCCAGCTTGCTTTGGAGCCATCGCAGCCCCAGGTCGGGGCACTCCTGGCCTTGCAGTGGGGGCTTCTGAGTACACCCCAGAAAAAATGAGCCACGTGAGGAGCCTGCTTATTTCTACAACCCTTCTCCTGACTGGAACTGACTTCAGTTCAGTTCCAGCCTGAACTTCAGGCTTACTGGAACCCTGGCCTCCAGAACATTCTTCTGAGGCCCTGCCACCCTGCTTGGAAGAACCAGCAAATGGTGCTCTCCTTGTCTCTGCTGCTCGTGGTGCCTCACAAGCAGAATCTCCGAAGAAGCTCTTGTGGGTTCTGAGACATACATGTCCTGGGGACTGAGAAGGTCGAATAAAACGTGCCAGACACACAGCAGCTGCTTCCAGAGGTGCAGACCTGTTTATTAGTGATGAGGCTGGGTGAGAGACAAGCTTGGTGACATTCAGCTATGGACTTCTCACAGCCACACAGGCTCGGTGCTGACAGACTGCCCAGACAGCAAGGCCCTAGCAAGCAGCCAGTTTTTAGAGGATCAGGTGCCTCACTAGGTTCAGTTTTGATAACTGCCCTATACATTGTAGCTTCAGGGGTTAGCCACAGAAATGAAACTGCTCATACTCAGGCTACTACACCCAGAGGGCTGGGCAGGGAAGATGCCCATGGCCCTAGACCAGTAGAAGAGATTCTGGAACCTTGTGCCAGGCCTTAGTGGCACATACCTTTAATCCCAGCACTCGGGAGGCAGAGGCAGGGGGATCTCTGAGTTGGAGTCCAGCCTGGTCTATAGAGCTAGTTCCAGAACAGGCTCCAAAGCAATACAGAGAAACCCTGTCTCAAAAAAACAAAACAAAACAATACAAAAAAAGATTCTAGAACCTCACTGGACCTTTAGCCTCCTTGGCTACCTAGATCCTGCCTGCACTTCCACCCTGCAGAGCTCAGTGTGGAATCTGGAGGTGCACAGGCCACAGGCAACATTACCAACCAGAGGCACTGCCAAAGACCCATGTGCAGCTAGTGCCCACTTTAGCACAGAATCCAATACACCCTTGTAGCTATCCTTGGATTTTGAAGGTCTTTGGTGTGTTCTCTGTGTGGGCTCTGTTGCTGATACACACATGGTCTTCCTAGGAGTTGTGGTGCTGGCCCCCGGGGCTCTCACGGACTCTCAAGGCCTCCTACCACCTGATGCTGAGGCCTGAGTTGGTCTTCTCCACGGCGTGGTATTGTGTATGTAGTAGTCGGCTGGCCTGCTCAGAGCCCTCACCTTGCAGCCAATGCTGGTACAGCTCCTGGACCCCAGGTGCATCTTCGGGTGCCTCACTCCTTACCATGCTGTATAGTCTTTCCACTTGCTGGAGGAGCTCCCTGCCTTGCACATCTGGAGCCTTGAGCTGGCCCCCTCCATTCAAGCAGCCTGTAGCAGAGCACAGGGCATGGTGGTGGGAAGTCAGGGTTTAGCCCTCTGAACCCCGGTATGGGGTATGTGTGGAGAGGGGACATGTGTCGTGTTGTCCCCGCCCCCCCTCCCGTCTAACCCCTAACACTTTCCACTGTTGGCAGGCTGCTGTACTATGCTAGGAGGAACTACCTGAAGGGCAGGCCATGACTTCCACATAATGGTAGGGACAGCGGCCTCGCTTCAGCTTCTGCACAAGGTTCTGGATGTTGCGGAAACCATAGGCCACAGCAAAGCGCAACAGCACCTGGCCTTCCCTCTCCAATGTCACCTCCTGGAAGTCCTTGTTCCTGAAAGTGTAGGAGTAGGCTTGTGAAACTCCACATTGCCATGCAAACCTGCCCCTGCCCAGGTGCAGAAGCATTCTGGGGTTCAGCACACTATCATCCGCTCTGTCCTTTTCTGATTGCAGGCAGGGGAGGGGGTGATGGGGGGGCACTGCTTGCATCCACAGGCCTAGGTTACCCTAACCCTAACCCTGCTAGTCCTTGTATATATTGCCCTGCTAAGACTGAGGAGAGTACTCTGACCTGTTTGCTCATGCTTCATGCTCGTAAGAGGAGACCCAAGGGCTCCAGGGGTCTTTCCACCCAAGTTCCCGTCAGTGCCTGCTCCACTAACCTCATGGGTTGGTAGGTAACTTCAGCCACATGGATTCCAAAGAGCTCTTGGGCTGCGTGCCGGAACACATGCTCCAGGTAGCCTCCTGAGCCTCCACCCCGATGGCTGGTGGGCTCCTCAGCAGACACACTACTGGTTCTGGGAGAGGGGTGGGTCAGTGCAGCCGAGGTCTCTTGTAGTCAGACCTTAAGAACTGTTCTTATGATGGCCCTGGGAAGCTCAGATGGCTTCTAGAGCAGGCTCTGCTTTGACACTGTAACTCAGCCACTCTTGGGCCCCAGCCAGGCTGTGGGGAGGTCTGAAGTCAGCCAGAAGGCAGCCTGGGTAGAAAGGAGGGGACAAGACACTGCCCCACCCCACAGGCAGCATCTGATCCCAAATAAAGGTTCTCAGTCCACACCACCAACTCACAATCGATCCAGGGGCATAGGCTCCAGCTCCAAGAGTGAGATTCCTTCTTCCTCCAGCAGCCTAAAGACTTCTCCTACAGAGGACACAGCACATGCTCTACTTGGTTTCAGAATGCTGAGCTGTGTCCCCAGAGGAACACTCACTCCCATTCATGGTGGGATGGTTGAGTCCAGCCAGCCTCTGCAGACCCACTGGAAGGCATTCCTGCCTGGAGCATTGTAAAGGCAGGACCACTCTGCCAGTCCAGGGGCAGGCTGTTTAGCCTTCCAGACAGTTTATTTCCGTGATTCTTAAGTAGCACAGGCTACTCTACTCAGAAGTGGGATGAAAATATAAGCCACAGGGACTAGACTTGAGACCTTGTCTGCCTTCAAGACTCATTTTTAAATCAGCAAGAATACAACACTGGGGCTCCATCGGTCACAGGACCCCGGGAGGCACTGTGGGAAGGCCCGGCTGCCTGCTGGGCTCTAGTGCTTCGCTCTAGGAGAGCCCTGCAGACAGTAGAGGGTAGAGTTATGCATGGTGCCTGCACCTGTTGTAAGGACACAGTCCACGTCACGGGTCTGGTACTTGTGGTTGAAGAAATCAGGTCTGGACGCTTCCAGCTTTTTGTCGTAGCAGGGCATCACTGTCACATGGTAGATCTTGTCTGGAGTCAGATGCTACAGAGAGAGTATAGAAAGCTCCAGTTCTATCTAAGCAAGCTCAGAAGTGGCCTCACTAAAATGTGAGGTAGAGTGACTGCCAGGCATGACTCGAGCAGCTACTCACACCCCCTGGCCATCATAGGACCACGGTCACACATTACCTCTCCTGTTTCTGTCCCTAACAGCCAGTGGCAGCAGAGGAGGTGAGCTCTCACTGCCTTTGAAAGAAAGAACAGGTCACAGTGGGAAAAGCACACTCAAGGGAAGTGTGGCCATGCACATGTAGAGGGAATGCAAATGATTGATGCCAGTGCTTGTGGTTTCAGGTACAATGGAAGGCAGCTCCCTTCCTCATCCTCCATCAGGTTGGGTCCAGTGGGTCACTGGGAATGACCTCAGGTGAGATCTGAATTGTTCACCCAGCAGCCCGTGGACTGTGCTTCTAGCTCTTGGTCTCCTGCTAACTAAATGTGGAGTGTAACCACCTCCAGATGTGAGAAGTGCCTTTATATCAGAACTGGGCCCCCTGGTACCTGACAACAGCCCAGGTAGTAACAGGCTAGCTGGGCAAGAATGATACTGGTGCCAAGCTTACTTCACTGGCAGCTGCCATTAGGTTCCAGTCACCCAGACACCTCCAGAAGGTGACATGGTCACAGGCAAGGGATCAGTGGCCAGCCAGTGGGCCATCTCTTACTCCTGTGTCACAGCTAACCACTCCTCATTATGTTGTCTGGGGATGCTCAGTCCTCTTACCTGTTGCTGGGCAAAGAAGTCTTTGACCAGGGAGCCCATAACCTGCTGTGGGGACCGGACTGTGCTGATGTAGGGGAGGATGAAACTGCCATGTGTCTTCTCAGCATAGCAGATCCAGCCTGAGCCAAAGAGAACGAAGAGATCTGGGGTGTGCATAGGGCAGGCCTGGGGGCAGTTCACAAACAGCTGTTCTCCTCTTGGCAGTGACATGACATTCTGGAGGTGGGCCGAGTCATACAAGAGATTACTGTGGCATTAAAACACTCCTCTTGTCATCACTGTCACAAGGAAGGCTGGCATCTAGGTGATCTCCAATGGGAACTGGTGACTACAGGTGATGTCTTAGACCTTATGCACCTCCTAGGTACATTTCTATCCTTCTTTCAAGATACGCCCCCACCCCCGTCATTCCCATGTTTCTTGTCAAGACGTCAGGATACCATCAAATCCTAACTTCAATTAAACAGCTATTCAGCCACGGACATACCTGGGCAGGCAGAAGCCAGCATGGGCAAAGCCTCTCCGGAGTTGCCTTGCCCTCGGAATCGCTGCACAAACTCTTTCTGGCTTTCCAAAAGGCTGAAGTTCCTTGCGAAGGCAGTATCGAAGACAAAGTGTACCCCTAGAAGGTGAAGGAAGGTGAGCATGTGCCTTACCCTTACCATGGCAAAAACCAGCATCTGAACATCTCTGCCCTGAGTAGAGCAGCACTATGGACCATGGGCCAAGAGCAAGGCTCTGCCCTAGTGGTACCACAGCATGCTGTTTCTATGGGGACTCTAGGAATCTCTGTTTTACCAGGTACAGCACCTGCTCTGTAGATGCCCGAGAGCTGTCCAGTGGCCCCACCATTAACCCCCTATAGTGAATTCCTAAAGAATGTACTCTCCTTGGCACCATCCTAAATGTGTTTAAGTCTTTCGTGCCAGTAGGGTTTGGCCCCTGGATGCTTTGACCTCCTCCAGTCCAACCTGTGGCGCAGATAGAGATCTCTGCCTTATTCAATGGCCTCCTCCTGATGGTTGCATCTTGGGGCCACACTGCTGTACCCCTGCATGGACTCTGCAGATGTGGCTTCTCAGCTACAGCAAACTGTTGTAGACTTCAGTCTGCCTGCCCTCAGCCAGGAGTGCTCCTGCAGGACTGCAGTGGAAGACTGTGCTCCTGGCTCTTCAGTCCTCCCTAGGACTGGGAACTGTCCTGAGGCGATGTGGGACTGAGTGTTCTTCTCGTCTTAGAACTACCTGCCCTCATGCTGGCTTTTCTTAGGACCCTGGGGACTGAGGATGGCTCCTACCATCATAGCAAGGGACAGGCCTCATGATACACATGTGTCACACAAGAGCCTGCCTATTAGTAGGTGTCTCCTGCGAGACTCCTGGTCATGCTGGACAGTAAGTTGCCAGGTCATCTAACAGACAGGAGCAGAATTCTGTGGAGGTGGAACGAGTGTCCATGCCCAGTCCCTCCACTTCCCCATGATGGGCTGTTGCTCACTCTGGTACTGGGACCCCAACTTAGCAGGGAGCTTTCAAAACACCCATACCCCAACTCCTGGCACAGAGGTCAGCCAAAGCTAACCCAAGGCAGAACACAACAGATATGACAATATGCCTGAAAAACGTAACTAGAGCCAGTGAGATGGTTCAGCAAGGAGAGGTCCTTGCTGTCAAGTCTGACGACCTGAGCTCAATGCCTGCTGCCCAGGCAGTAGAAGGAGAGAACCAAGTGCTGAAAATGGTCCTGTGTCCCACACACATTCACGCACCCAAAATAAATATGCAAATAACATGCAAAAATAGTGGGGCTGGAGAGATGGTTCAGTGGTTAAGAACACTAGCTGATCCTCCAGAGGTCCTGAGTTCAATTCCCAGCACCCACATGGTGGCTCACAACCATCTGTAATGAGGGCTGGTGCCCTCTTCTGGCCTGCAGGGGCACATGCAGACAGAACACTGTGTACCTAATAAATGAATCTTTAAAAAAACCCCAACAACAACAAAAAACAAAAACAAAACAACAACAACAAAACCAAATAGTAACTGGAGCTGGGTACAGTAGCACATATATGTAATCCAAGTACTATGGAAGCTGAGGCAGGAGGATTGTATGTTTGAGGTCAGCCTGAACTACATAGTGAAGTCAGGGCAAGCCAGGGCTACAAAGTGAGACCCTGTCTCAAAAACTAAACACCAAAAACCTAAACCAAAGCCCCCGAACCAAAGATGGCATGTGCATGTAATCCCAGCACTTGGTAGGGGACCAGGTCCAGATTAGTGTCATCTGAGACCTAGTTTCCAACAACCAAACACTAACAACAGAACCCAAAAGACTCAACTATAAACACTGAGGGAATGGTGAATAGTCAATGAAGGTACAAGTCAGAACTCAGGTGGCTTCTCTCTTAAGGTCCTGATCTCAACCATCTGATCAAAACTTCAAGCTCAAGTCAAAATAGGAAGAGTGCCCCTATGTTCAGTTCACTGTGAGTGACATGTGCTTTGGGGGTGGGAAGAGTCCTGATACCAGCCACCCTCCCTCACCCAAGGTTCTGCACCTACCTATTTTTTTGAAGAAGGAAGTTAATTTCCTGGCAGTGTCTGAGGAATCCAGCTGAAACCTGGCAGCCAGTGATGCTCTGGACTGGGGCGAGATGGAAATGACCACCAGCTGCTGCTGACCGGGTGCTGCTACCTGAAATGCAAAAGTCTCTGGCTGTGCAGGCTTTGTATAGAAGGCTGGAGGTCAGCCTCTGTCTTCAGATGCCATCAGTCACATGGCAGTCGGCCATGTTGACACTAAGCACCCAACCCAAAGCCCCAGACCTAACACTTAGTGTCAGAGAACACAGGGAAGAAGCCTAAAGATGCAGGAGTCACTGGAAGTCAGATGGGCGGACCAGGTTAGTTTCCCCTGAGGAAGTATGCTGTAGGCTACCGGGGATCCCCACTGCTTACCTTATTAGCATCTAGAACCTTCTTCAGCTCCTCATGACTCTGCTGGGTGATGAGAACAGTCTCTGCTGAAGTGACACAGCCACTGCATGCCAGGCAGTCATTCAGGGAGACCTTGGCCTTCTCCAGCTTCTGGGTTCTTCCATCCTGCAGGGGAGCAGAGTCTGGGGCAGAGGGTCTTGTGGGAGATGGGCAGGGCATCCATTCCATGTAGCTTTGTTTGTTTGTTGTTTGGTTTTTAGAGACAGGGTTTTTCTGTCTCTGGTTGTCCCGGAACCCACTCTATACATCAGACTGGCCTCCAAATCACAGAGATCCACTTGCCTCTGCCTCCTGAGTGCTGGGAATAAAGGACCACCTGGGTCCAAGTAGCCTTTTGACTTCCACGCACACCAGCAACAGCCAGCATGAGAGCCAACTGGGGGTTTATTTGCTACCCACTCTTCATTTTTATTTACTTTTCTTTCTTCATGACAGGAGACTGAACCCCTGAATCCCTTAACCCTCCTACAGATGCAGGAACGGTCTGAACTAGGGCCAGGTGAGCTACAGGGGTCAAAACTGACTGAACGATTAAGGCTAGAGGGTTAGAAGTCCTTTGAACTGCTTTACTCCACACCAAGAGACCCAAGGCCCACAGGCCTGGGCTGCAGCAGCACCATGACGATGAAGCCACTATGGTGATGGGCACCCTCCTCTGTCCCTCCATCCATGGGATCCCTCGCTGAGAACCAGAACCTCCTGGTGTACTGGAGGAAGACAGCTGGCCTTCTCTGTCATTGCTTGATCCTGCTGCTCTTCACTGTTCACGGGATCTGCACACCCATTCCCTGAACCTAAGCAAGGTCCCGCCCCTACTCAGTGTTCCACGGCTGGGCATCACTTTTCAGTACAGTGGTGCATGGGATCTTTATTATGTTTACAGTGTTCTGTCTGCATGTGTGCCTGCAGGCCAGAAGAGGGCACCAGATCTCATTACAGAAGGTTGTGAGCCACCATGTGGTTGCTGAGAATTGAACTCAGGATATCTGGAAGAGCAGCCAGTGCTCTTAACAACTGAGCCATCTCTCTTGATACATGGGATTTTGAAGTCACGCCTTAGAATACAAAGAGCATCTTAGGATTCATTTTCACTTAAAGAAGATGGAGGGGTTTGAGGGTTCAAAACCAGGAAATCTTATGCTATTAGAAGTAGGGGCAAAGGTGGTGGGAAGGATCCCCCATCTCTGGAAAAGGGCCCCATGCAGAACAGGACAGGCTGGCTGCTCAACCTGGGCACCCCCACTCACCTTCCCAACTCCCCAGTCAGTGACCGTGACAGTGAGAAGGGACTGGTGAGATGCAGGGAGTTTCGGGGGGGGGGGGGACGCATCTGTGACTGGATGAGGCAGAGGATGCGTGTTTTAGATCTGCACCCCAGCACCCATCCCCACTTGCCACCAACCACCAGCCCCTAGTGGGGATGAGGGGAGACCTCTGGCTTCTTACTGGGTTCACTTGGAGATAACTCCCATCGTCTTCGATGTGGATCTTGGCTATGCCACTTCCTGGCTTCTTATCCACCTTCATAGGCTTGATACAATTCTACACCAGGAAGAGACCCCAAAACAGGCTCTATTAGGGGAAGGTAACTGGAGAATGCTGGGCCTCAGGGATAGCTGGCTGCTGGCAACGGGGTGAAGCACACCACCAGGGCCTGTTCTACCATGCTGAGCTCTGGTTGCCACTCTTTTCCGTACAAGATGAGGATGTCACCAAGGCCACTCACTCTCTGTGTCCAGATCAGCATGAAGACTGGTGCTAACAACATGCAAGTTAATGTCTGCTGAAACCCCGACAAGCCCGTCCTTCCTAAGTGCAGACAACAGCACAGCACCAGAGGCCACGTGTCAAGAAGCCATGGCCAGACTAGAATGCTTTCCTTGGGAACTCTGGAGGTCACCTCTAAACCCACTGCCACAGATGGAATGTCATGTCTCTCCCCTGCCCCTTAACATCTCCTGTTATTGCCTCCAGAACCTTGGTGGCTTCTAGGAGATGGCCTTCCAGATGTTCAGTCCCAGGCAAGATGCCCCAGTTCATCCTGCCTGACTGGCAGCTCAACCTCTCTTCTATGGATCATGGGATCTGGCTACAGAACTACTAGCTCTGGGGACAAAGGAAAATCCAGGCAAGGGCACCCGCTGTTGTTTTTAGGTGTGGCTGTCTGGAGTCCCTTGTATCTTCCTCAAGGTAAGGTCAAGAACATTAGCTATCATTGTGGCCCAAGTGGACATCTCACCCGTCCCTTCAACATGGCCCCTCCATTGAGATGAACAAACTGGCTCTGAGGGGCGGGATGGGATGTCTCACAAATGTGTGGAGGCTGTGCAGCCCCAATCATGTCTCTGCATCACCAGTTGGGTGACACTAATAGGAACCCCCAGTTTTTGTAACATTAAGCCTTCATGTCACCCCTAAATACTCCCATAGCTTCTGGAAATCCCTCCTGGACATCCTGGGGTCAGTAGCTAGCTGCCCAGCCCTCCCTGGCCTCAGTTGTCTGTGTTGGTAAGAATGGAACCAGACTGATTGAGGCCCTGGGCCCTGGGTCGGGTCCTGTGCTCAGGAAAAAACACCGTTGGCAGAGGTTTCCCGCTGCACACAGCCAGGCCCGGCCCCTCTTCCTGCGCGACTTGCCCTTGGCCGGCCCACCTGAGACGGCCCGATGAAGTCATCCAAGTCGGTCAGCTGTAGAACCCCACTGAAGGGCGACGCCATGACAGCCTCACTGCCGCTGAGCGTCGCACGGAGATGTCGCAAAATGGCACCAAATGATAGGACTGTTCCGCCACTCTGCCGGAAAACGCAAATTCCGGCGCATGCTCATTTCTCCCCACGGGCAAGCTTTGGAAAGAGCGAGTGCCCTCTGCTGGTCGTCTTGAGCGCTCAAAGTACAAAGTTGCACCGCGCTCAGTTTTCCGTGCCTCCCTTGGGTTGTGGTGGTGTGTGGGGGTTGTGTAGACAAAGAAAGCAAAGATTGAAACTCTAGAGTCAGAATGTCCCCCGCATCACGTAGGGGTGGAGATCGGGGTTTCACGTAGCAAGGACCCAGATACAGTCAGTGCCTGCATCAGGAGAACATGTTATTTGCAGTAGAACACAAAATTAACTTTGGTTCACTGGAATGCTTTGGAACGGGCTTACCTAAAATGATCGACACGTGCTGTTGTGGAGAGAACATTAACAGAAGCAGGTTTTTGGACAGGACCAGGGCCAGAGAATAGTTTCTGTTGGGGGGCGGGGGCGTAGTTCTAACGTTGGAAAGAGAGTGATGTAACCTCTCCTTGTCCTCAAACCTTTAAAAACAGTGGAGGGATGACAAAAAATGAGCATTATCCAAGGCCCACAGCATATATACATAGGAATAGTCTGGGACATTACAAAGATCGAGTCCTGACATTCATCTTAAGGTTGATGACCCTGAAGACATTACAGTCAGTGGATGTGGATGAAGCTAGTTACAAAAGACCACATGTGTGACATCAGTCAGCAGAGTATCCAGAACAGGCAAGCCCACAGACTGAAAGCCGACCTCAGGTGTTGGGGAGAAAGGGTCTGACCAGGGTGGTGAAAGCCTTTAGAAACTGATGCTACACATTGTGGTGTCTTTTTTGTTTTTGTTTTTTTTTTTTTTTTTTTTTTTTTTTTTTTGTGACAGGATTTCTCTGTATAAAAGTCCTGGCTATCCTAGATGGAACCCACTCAAATTCACAAAAATCCATCTGCTTCTGCCTCTACCTTCCAAGTGCTGAGGCTAAAGCATGTGATACCACACCTGGCCTTGTGGTATCATTAATACCACCAGAATGACTATTAGAATGGTTACGATCAGGCTGAGGAGATGACAGTTGATAAAGTGCTTGCTGTGCAGACATGAGGAACAGTGTCATGTGCCTGCAATCCCAGCACTGAGAAGGTAGAAATGGGAACTCCTGGTGTTTGCTGGCCAGCCAGTAAGTAAAGGCTCTTGCTAGAAAGTCTGATAACCTGGGTTCAATCCCCAGGAGCCCTAAGGTGGAAACAGAACCAGCACTGACCACCACAGGCACAACATAGCATGAATATACCCATAACATACATGTACATACACAAATAAATGCAATTTTACAAAAGAAAACAGAAACCAATGTATTAGAGCCAATTAAATCCTACACTTTTGGCTTTGTTTCCTCCCCCAAACAGAGACTGTCACTGAGTAGTCCAGCCTGGCTTCAAACTCTTGATCCTCCTACTTAGCTTTCTGAACACTGTGGTTATAGGTGAATGCCACCACTCATAGTGAATTGTAACATTTAATTGGGGGCAATAGTGCAGCATGTGAGTTCCTATCTTAATAAGGCTATTAAAGACAGGGTAGAGCTATAGCCAGGTATAGTGACTTATGCCTATAATCCTGTCACTTAGGAACTGGAGACAGGAGGATTGCTTCAAGTTTTAAAAAATTATTTATGAGACAGGAGGTGGTGGCACACACCGTTAATCTCTGAGTCCAAAGCCAGCCTGGTCTACAGATTGATTTCCAGGACAGCCAGAGCTAAACAGAGAGACCCTGTCTTGAAAAACAAATAAAACAAAATCTTTATTTACGGGGCAAGAGAGATGGATGAACTGGGCTGGGTTCTCATCACCCACATGGCAGCTCACAACTATCTGTAACTCCAGTTCTTGGGGGGAGTCAATGGCCTCTTCTGACCTTTGTGTACACTAGGTATACACATGGTTCACATACATACATAAAGGCAAAATAGTCATGGACATAAAATAAAAATAAATGAATCTTAGAAAAAGTATCACTGTAAGCATGCTAACATATGTGTGTGTGCGTGTGCGTGCGTGGGCACGCATGTGTGCCCATGCCTGTGTGCGGACAGGTGTTTGCCATTATGAAGAATGTGAGCGTGTGGATGTCAAAGAGCAACTTTGTAACATTGCTTCTCTTCTTCCCACTTCAAGTGGCTTCCAGGAATTGAACTGTAGTTGTCAAACTGACAACCTGCTGAGCCATCTTGCCAGCCCAATTGCCACAAGTTTGAGGTCAGCTTGTGTGATGTAGTTAGTGTACACAGGCTAGCTAGGACACACTTTAAGACCCTTAAGCAAATAAACAAACAACGAAATGGTGGAAATTGAAGACTCAGTGACCCCAGCTTCTGGAGTGACCTTGAATCCAGGACATTCAGTCTCAAGCCATATGTCTGACACCTACAAGAGACCGACAGAGTAAGCTGAGGAGTTTTGTTTTATTTCAGTATCTCAGGACAAGAACTCAGCTTCCTGCATGTTGGACAAGTGATCTTATCAAGCTTCGGGGCTAGTTTCTGGTTCATAAAATAGGACTACAGTTTCTGATTCTCTCTCTCTCTCTCTCTCTCTCTCTCTCTCTCTCTCTCTCTCTCTCACACACACACACACACACACACACGGAGAGGTTATTCTTCTGTTGGGGACATGTCATCCCCTCAGACGTCTTTCGTTAACTCATTTCCCTGTGGGCACTAGCTCTGTGCAGATGTCAGGCCTCTGGGTCCCCAAGCTCCTATTTTGCAAATTGTTTCATCATCACCATTAGATGGTATTTACCATGTGCTTCCCCTGTGCAGGTCCCTAAGCTAGACTCTGGGAACTGTAAGGTTTACAGACGTCAGGGAGGGGAAAGGAGGACACAAGGGCCAGCCAGGAACACTGGAAGAAACCAGCTGGGCCTCAGCTGCTGTGACACTGTGCTCCAGTGTGGCGTTCCTTTTCTTGGACATCCCTGGCTGCCCTGGGTACTCTTTAGTCCACAGGTACCAACTTGCCACCAGTTGGGGGAGCAGCCCCTTCCTGCTGCCCATGTGGTTTGCACTGAGGCCTGCCCATAGCCCTGTCTCTTCCCGTGACTGTGCCAGTTTCACCATTTGTGAGGACATGCCATGTGCTAGTACCCCAAGGCTGTTGGGACAGATGGCCACAACTGGGTGCTTAGTAATGGAAATTTATTTTCAGCTCTACGGGTGAAAAGTTTGACATTCCAGGCTCTGCAGTGCTTCATACCCTCCTCAGACAACGGGGTCGATATTTTCCTGCCTCACCCTCTTCCAGGGGTTCCAGATGGTCTGAGACTGTGAGCACACAGTTCCAGGCTTTTTTTTTCACATGATCACTTCTACATGTCTCTGAACTTCTCTTGTTACTAGACTTAGGGTCCAACTCAATCAAAGATCAGCTCGAGACCTTTGATGTCACCATACCTCGTGGGAACAGAGGGGTGGACCAGTTAGTTTTCCTCAACTTGACACGAACCAGAGTTACTTGGAAGAGAGCTCCCCATTGAAGGGTTGCCTCCATCAGATTGGCCTGTGGGTATATCTGTGGGTTATTTTCTTTATTAATGATTGATGTGGGAGGGCCCAGCCAACTGTGGGCAGTTCCACTCCTGGGCAGTTGGTCCCTGGTTGTATAAAAAATTAGGCAGCCTTGGAAAGAGAGCCAGTCAGCAGGGTTCTTCCGTAGTCCCTGCTCCAGTTTTCACCTCCAGGCTTCTGCTTTGTGCCTCTTATTCTGACTCCCTAGGCGATGGATTCTAACTTGTAAGATGTAATAACCCCTTTCTCCCAAGTTGCTTTTGGTCATGGTGGTTTTTTGCTTGTTTGGTTTGGTGTATTTGGTTTCTTTGTGAACAGCCTTAGCTGTCCTGGAATCAGCTCTGTAGATCAGGCTGGCCTCAAACTCACAGCACCCTCCTGAGAGCTAGGGTTAAAGGTGTACACTACCATTGCCTGGCAGGTCATGGTGTTTTATCATAGCTACATAAAAGCTAGCTAGTACCAATGGGAAGGGAGAGAGAGCCTAGAGCTGGCCAGTGTCAGTGTGATTGGCTCTGTAATGTGAGTATAAAAGGATCCTGAAGTGGGGGGGCGGGGCTGGCTGACACACCCACAGGTAATCTTAGCACTCTGGTGGCTGAGAAAGATTTAGTCTCAAAAAGGGGGGGGGTTAGATAATAGCTCAGTTGACAGCGCTTGTCCACCTGGCACAAAATCTGGGTTCAGTCCCTAGTGCTGCCTAAACCAGACGTGGTGGTGTGCAGCTGTCACCTTAGCACTTGGGAGGTGGAAGCAGGGAGGTTAGAAGTTCAAGGATATGCTCAGCTACACAGCACAGTTGAGGCCAGGCAGGACTATAGAGACCCTGCCTCAAAATAAGTAAGTAAATGAAGGGAATGTGGGCAGGACGCTGCCGGGAAGGAGGCAGGAAGAATGGGTGGAGGGAGGAATGTCTGATTTCAGCTTTCGCATGCTGTGTTTGAAGATACTTTGCTTAAAAAAAAAAAAAAAAAAAAATCAGAAGGGAGAAGTGGGGTCCCGCTCTTCGAGCGGCACTTGCCTGTGGTCTCCCAAGCCCAAATGATACAAGTGCTGCTGCCACCCTGAGGCCTGCAGGCGTGGGAGGAGGCCAATGCCCAGGGAGCCTCTAGATTCTCCCTCCCACCTGTCACAAGTGCCGTCCAGCTAACGAGTTCAGGTCCCGAGAGCCGCTAGACAAGCTGGGGGGAGGGGCGGACAGACAACCCACCTGTGTCAAATGCTGGACTGGAGGCTTCCTGCACCTGGTCAGACCAGTCCAAGTTCAGGGCAGGTGGCGTGGCCTCGACAGTCCTGTGCCCGGGTACCCTCACCTGCTCACCCTCCACATGCTCTGTGAGCTGGCACTCACTATTTTGGTTCATTAGTGTGTGTGGTTGATATAGTCTTGAATATGCTTTTAAGTCCATGTGTAAAGGCCTGGCTCCATGGTGTAAGAGGCATCTTTAGGGACTGTTGTCCAGTCTG